TCTACTTTTTCCCCATGAAGTGATGGGACCAGATGCCATGATCTTCCTTTTTTGAATGTTGAGTTTTAAGCCAGCGTTTTCACTCTCCTCTTTCACCTTCATCAAGAGGCTCTTCAGCTCCTCTTCACTCTCTGCCATAAGGGTGGTGTCATCTGCATATCTAAGGTTGTCGATACTTCTCCCGGCAACCTTGATTCCACTATGTGATTCATCCAGCCTGGCATTTTCCATGATGTACTCTGCATAGCAGTTAAATAAACAGGGTGACACTATACAGCCTTGATGTACTCCCAATCTGGAACCAGTCTGTTGTTCCATGTTCTGTTCTAACTGTTGCTTCCTGACCTGCATACAGGAGACAGGTAAGATAGTGTGCTATTCCCATTTCTTTAAGAATTTTCCACAATTTGCTGTGATCCACACATAGGCAGTCGTGGCAAGGGAAGAGGCTTTACCGATATCATGGTGGAGGCAGAGGTGGGAGCAGGGTAGTGACCGGCACCCCAGGTTCCTAGTGCCGTGGGACAGGCGGCCGAGAAGCACTGCATGCCCACCGCAGGGTGGCAGGGCTTGCTGGGCCTGGACAATAATGCCGAGGAGCCAGAGGAGAGGAAAGGTGGGCCATGGGGGTGGTAGATCAGCCCCAGCGTGGCCAGCCGCAGCAGTGAGGCCAGGGAGCCCTCCACTCTGCGGGGGGCGGGGGGGGTCCTCCAACGTTGGCTCATCTTCCCCAGACCCCCTTCCTGAGGACTCCGGCCAGGCCTTTGCTCATGGCCTGGGTGGCACTTTGACAGGTGAAGGTTTACAGGCTCAATGAGGACCAGCAGTGGGACAACCAGTGCACCTGGGCATGTCTTCTATCCATGTGGAGCAGTTGAAGGGCATGTCCCTGCTGGTTAGGGCCTGACAAAATGTGGTCCACTGGAGAAGGAAATGGCAAACCACTTCAGAATTCTTGCCTTGAGAACCCCATGAACAAAATGAAAAGGCAAAAAGATGTGACACTGGAAGATGGGCCCCCAGGTCAGTAGGTGTTCCAATACGTTACTGAGGAAGAGCAGAGAAACAGCTCCATAAAGAATGAAGACGCTGGGCTAAAGCAGAAACCTCACTCAGTTATGGATGTGTCTGGTGGTGAAAGTCTGATGCTGTACAGAACAATATTGTGTAGGAACCTGGAATGTTAGGTCTATGAATCAAGGTAAATTGGATGGGGTCAGACAGAATATGACAAGAGTGAACATCAACATTTTAGGAATCAGTGAACTAAAATGGACCAGAATGGGCGAATTTAATTCAGATGACCATTATATCTACAATTGTGGGCAAGAATCCCTTAGAAGAAATGGAGTAGCCCTCATAATCAACAAAAGAGTTTGAAATGCAGTGCTTGGGTACAACCTCAAAAACAACAGAATGATCTCAGGCTGTTTCCAAGGCAAACCATTCAACATCACAGTGATCCAAGTCTATGCCCCAACCACTAATGGCAAAGAGGCTGAGGTTGAATGATTCTATGAAGACCTACAAGACCTTCTAGAACTAACACCAATCAGCATTAAGCTTTGTTTAGCTCACAGGAAACATGCTGACCAGGGCTATCTGTGAATGACTACAGGAAGGAAGAAATAAATACATCATATCCAGAGGCTGACTGGAAACAGGAAATGTTTGAATTTATGCCCTCCCCTTTTAGTGTAAAAGAAGCGTGAATTTTAATTTACACAAGAAGATTCTTAGGGACATGAGTCCACCATCTTCTGAGTCTGCCGGCTTTCAGAATAAAGTTGCCATTCCTTGCCCCAACAATTCATCTCTTGATATTGGCCTGTCCTGCAGCAAGCAGTACTGGCTTGGACTTGGTAACAAATGTTCGTGAAGCCAGCCAGAAGCCTTGGTGTTCAGGACCAGCTGGCCCCAGTTGGGGAATTTTTGAGTAAGGCCCCAGTAACTGCCAGGACCACTTGTCCTGTGGATCTTCCCTTCAAAATCCCCCTGTTCCAATACTTGGCAGTCTGGGAGCTGATGAGTTCCACACAGTAGGGTAAGTTGCTCTCATGAGTAAGGCCAAAATTTTGTTTCCTCTCTGTTTGGGTTTTTTCTGTCCCAAATAAGCCAATTATTCTCCCCTAATTTCAGCAAGGTACACTGTTACAGAGAAGAAATAGTTGCTGGACGTTTATCCAATTTATATATCAGTTTGTTTGTTTCTTTGGATGCTAGCATTTGTGTGTGCCATTTTTGTTTTGTTTGTCTTGTATTTCTGTCTTTAAAAAAAATGGGGAATGTTTCACAATCCCTGAAGAAAGTCCTCCGAGGCCCATTTTGGATAAGTGATCTGATTACAGGAATGAACTCATGAGTGATAGGGGTTTGGGCAGGGTTATCTTGGGAGCCCGTGCACCATATACTGTCAGCCTTGCTGTGTGAATTATGTTGTTTGTGGTCTCCTGTGTCACTGGCACATATAAAACTCCCAAGAAAAAACTTGGGTTATTTAGGGTTTTCAGTTTCTCCTTTGGGTATTTTGTTTCATTTTGTTCCGTGCCATTTGTTCTGTGCATTTATAGCCAAGTCAGTCTGGTGATATTTAAAACTTCCACTGATGTCAAATAGAGGAAAGAAACATGAGAAAAACAAAAAGCTGTTCTTGTCTGTTTCTGTTCCCAAGGGAGAAAAGAAAGATTCCCCCTTGGCTCCTAAAATCACCAAAAGCCCCATCCCAGAATTGAGCCTGGTTGGTTGATTTCAGGGCAAAAAGTCACCCTTTTAATGGTTAGAGATGATCAATGGCTACTTACAGTTTTATGGTGGCTTTTGAATGGCTCTGTAGCTATTCTGCGAAGAGGTGGGGAAGAATGATGAAATCCTTTACGTACAAGCATTTGTGCCATTACTTCAGGAAAAATAAAAAGACAGTGAGGATATGTTGCTTCAGACCTTAACTCCTTCAGAGATCTGGATATCTCAGCTTCTCTGGCTGCTATGCCACTATATCCACCCCTTCCACCACTTCCCCTTCCTATCCAAGCCCTACTCCCGACACTGGGACTCAGAACTCCACCTTCCTTCTAGGAAGCAAGTAGAAAAGCCTGTGTTAGTTTCTGGGGCACAGGGACCTGATCTGGCATTGCCATCTAAAACCCAGCCAGACTGGGCACCCAAGTTGGGTCAGAGCCACTCTCAAGATGGACCAGTTTCCCTTAGACTGTTACCTCACAGGGGTCCTAAATGTAAACAGCCAGTGGGCTGGGTTTCTTAGGCTTTTTTAATTGGAAAAGTTTAAATCTCCTTATAGAGAGGAGGCTCTGCATCTGAAGCCCACTTCAGATACCCATAGCTGAACCAACTTGGGGCCCCAAGGAGGGAAGAAGTCCCTTATTAGAGTTCTACTTGTTAGTACAGCTTGGCAGGGCTTTGAAAAGGGGAATCAAAGCAAAAGTGTTTGAAAAAAATCCAAGAAACTCAGAAAATTAAAAAAAAAAAATGAAGACCCCTCTGAATTTACGGAAAGGATTTATCAGACATATGTAGGTGGCTCAGATGGTAAAGTGTCTGCCTGCAATGCTGGAGACCTAGGTTCGATCCCTGGATTGGGAAAATCCCCTGGAGAAGGAAATGGCAACCCACTCCAGTACTCTTGCCTGGAAAATTCCATGGACAGAGGAGCCTGGTAGGCTACAGTCCATGGGATCGCTAAGAGTCAGACACGACTGAGCGACTTCACTTTCACTTTCACAGACATATGAGTGCAGATCCCGAGGCCCCTGAACATACTAGAATGGTAAATTTGACCTTTTGCGGGCGGCAAAGTGCCTCAGATTATCAGTAGAAAGTTGCAACAATTAGATGGTGCATTTGGAATGAACATTTTATCAGTTGGTAGATGTTGCTTTTAAAGTGTTCAAAAGGGAAGAGCAACAGAATAAAGATGCTAAACAAAAAGACACTTTTCTGGCAGCATCATTGACTTCTCAGAAGCAAGTAACCCAAAAGACAGGTTAGTCACCATCAGGGAGGGAACAATGTGCTTACTACAGGGCGGAAAGTCATCAGAAAAAAAAAAATTGCCCTAGGCTGAAACAAAAGAAGAAAGCCAAGAGCCTCTCACAGGGAAGAAAGAGACTCTGATGAATGAACAAGCCCTGGGACCCCCTTGGATTTGAGGTACCCCGATTCTAATTTCCCCATAGGAACCCTGGGTACAACTGACAGTTGGGAATGAACTGATTAACTTTCTGATAGACCTCACTCTGAAACATAGTTTCTCATACATGCCAGAATGTCCAATCACTCTTTCTGGCCAAGACCTCCTTTGTATATTAAATGCTCAAGTAATAGAATACACAGGTTCTTCCCTATTACAATTCCCCACTGTCAGTGATCCATCCACAGTCCTGTGGGAAGAGGGATGAAGACCCCAACCTGGCTGCTTCTGCTTTCTTTCCCTTCACTGTTGTGTTGCTGTGTTGTTGTGTTGCTTCACTGTCTTGTTGCTCCCACAGTTCACTGAACCGGGGGTAGATAAAGCATGACCGGGGAAGCTGGAAGAAGACTTGAAGAGCCGTGGGGACTGCAGATGTGTTTATTCTCTTCGGGCAGCAGCTGCTGGGAGTCCTCAAGTAGTATGGATACACTGAGACAGAACAAAAGAAACCCATGGCCAAGTGGGTACACAGGCGCAGTGTGCTATAGCCGTTGCATAACCATGCAAGGTCAGCAATATTGTTTACTGAACACAAGGTAAGAGTGGGTGAGGGAGTGGGGAGAGCCTGACTGACGTCACGTTGTCTAGATATTTTCCCCACAACTATCTCCCGGATTTGCTCAAACTCATGTCCACTGAGTCAGTGATGCTGCCATCCAACCATCTCATTCTCTGTTGCCCCCTTCTCCTCCTGCCCTTTTCAGCCTATGTCCCAGCCACTAATACTGAAGAAGCTGAAGTTGAACAGTTCTATGAAGACTTACAAGACCTTCTAGAACTAACACCAAAAAAGATGTCCTTTTCATCACAGGAGACTGGAATGCAAGTCGGAAGTCAAGAGATACCTGTAATAACAGGCAAGTTTGGCTTTGCAGTACAAAATGAAGCAGGGCAAAGGCTACAGGGTTTTGCCAAGAGAACACACTGGTCACAGCAAGCACCTTCTTCCAACAACGCAAGAGACGAATCTACACGTGGACATCACCAGACGGTCAACACCGAAATCAGATTGGTTATTTTCTTTGCAGCTGAAGATGGAGAAGCTCTATACAGTCAGCAAAAACAAGACCTGGAGCTGACTGTGGCTCAGAGCACGAGCTCCTTATTACAAAACTCAGGCTTAAATTGAAGAAAGTAGAGAAAACCACTAGACCATTCAGGTATGACCTAAATCAAACCCCTTAAAATTAAACAGTGCAGGTGACAGACAGACTCAAAGGATTAGATCTGGTAGACCGGGTGCCTGAACAACTGTAGATGGTGGTTTGTAGCACTGTACAGGAGGTGGTGACCGAAACCATCCCCAAGAAAAGAAATTCAAGAAGGCAAAGTGGCTGTCTGAGGAGGCCTTACAAATAGCTGAGAAAAGAACAGAAGCCAAAGGCAAAAGAGAAAGGGAAGATTTACCCATTTGAATGCAGAGTTTCAGAGAATAGCAAGGAGAGATAAGAAGCCTTTTTAAGTGAACAGTGCAAAGAAATAGAGGAAAACAATAGAATGGGAAAAACTAGAATCTCTTAAAAAAAAAAAGTTGGAGATACCAAGGGAACGTTTCATGCAAAGATGGGCTCAATAAGGGACAGAAGTAGCAAGGACCTAATAGAAGTAGAAGGGATTGAAAAAAGATGGCAAGAATACACAGAAAAGGCACACAAAAGGTCTTAAAGACTGGGATAACCATGAAGGTGCAGTCACTTACCTAGAGCCAGACATCCTGGAGTCTGATGTCAAGTGGGCCTTAGGAAGCATTCCTATGAACAAAGCTAGTGATGATGGAATTCCAGCTGGGTTATTTAAATCCTAAAAGATGATGTTATTAAAATCCCAAAAGATGATGCTGTGGAAGTACTGCACTCACTATGCCAGCAAATTTGGAAAACTCAGCAGTGGCCACAAGACTGGAAAAGGTGTTTTCATCCCAATCTCAAAGAAAGGCAATGCCAAAGAATGCTCAAACTACCATACGATTTCACTCATTTATAAACTACTTCCCAAATTCACAGAAAATAGAGAAACTAAATTTCTATTAAAGTAAGACATTAAAAACAATCTTACAGAAGCAAGAAACACAAGTATTTTAAGAATTTCAATATATATAATTAAGACAAATCTTGAGTTTCCCTGGTGGCTCAGCAGTAAAGAATCCGCCTGCCAATGCAGGAGACACAGGTTCGACCCCTGATCCAGAAAGATCCCACATGTCGTGGAGCAACTAAGACCGTGTGCCACGATGACTAGTGAGCCTGCACCCTAAAGCGTGGGAGCCCCAACTACAGAAGCCTGGGCACCCGAGAGCCCGTGCTCCGCCACCAGAGAAGCACCGCAATGAGAAGCCTGCACGCCGCACCTGGAGAGCAGCCCCTGTTCGCCATGAAAGAAAAGCACACACAGCAATGAAGACCCAGGACAGCCATGAATACATAAATAAAATTTAAAAACAAGGCAAATCTTGGACCAATTAGACTTATATGGAGTATAATGCAAGGGTACTTTCTCTAAGTGAGAACTCAGTCTGCTGTCTCAAGAAGAGACATATTAATCTGAAGCCCCTAAATTTCTTATGCTGGTCTACTGACTAGGTAAGTTAGCATTACTCTTACATAATATTTGGAAGAGACATGTTCAAGTAAAGTGAATCATAATTCCGACAGATGTTTTTATAACATCAGTTATGTTCTGTGGTATGTCAGCTTGAACATAATCTTCAAGATCTTCAGGTAACCTAAAACTTTGGACTAATGTTAAACTAAATCAATGGATAATCATTGGGTACCTATTTGCAATGATTTGTAATCACTGAGCGCCTAATTGTTAAGATTCAATACTGAAATATTGCCACACATAATTTTAAGTTCATATATATCTGCTTGTATTTATGTACTACGGAGGGGCTATCTTTTGGTCATATGTGTAATGGACATGTTTATTTTTCAAATTTTAAGACTTCAAAATTATCTGTATTCGTGAGCTTTGCACTCTTAAAAAAGGGCTTACATATGACAGTTTTCAAGTTACTTTCAATTCTCTCTGAAATCAAAGTTATTTTGGTTAAAATTTATAATTAATATTGGTAGCTGACCAAGAACAAATAGTGACAGAAAAATACAACTGAGTACCAGAATAATGGAATGAGTTTTCCTAGGACAAAGAGCTTTGTCCTGAAGCATCTATATGCTCCAAAATATGAAAAGAAGCACATTTAAGTAGAAGAGAGAACAAGAACCAGAAAATAAAGGGTGTTAAAAATTTGACAATTTCCCTAGCTTTGATGCACTTACTCACAAGAAGGGAAGAGCTTGTAAAACCTCTACTGCTAAGTACTGTCAAAACCAAACTAGAATTCGGTTTTGTTACAATGATCATGTTCTTAAAGAGCTTGAAAAGAGACTGAGTTGCTCTTTAACTTCTACATAATCTGCTTGGATTTTCCATATCTCATCAGAATAATTTGCTTTGCTTTGACTTTACAATGTCCTTTTTATTAAAACGAAGACCAAAATAAAATGTTTCCACTTGTCAAAGATCTAAGTTTTCTTAAAATAGTTCTGCCTTCTATATTTAAATATTTTATTTCATTTTTTATTAAATGGGAAACCAACCGCTATTCTCAGGCACAAGCGATTAAATTTCCTCAAAATCTTGTTTTTGCTTTCCAAAGATTGGATCTTAAATAGAAATTTCAGGATGCATTTTACAGTCTTTGAGATTCCTCAGCGAGCCCTTCAGAAAATCATAAACTTTTGTACTTACTACTAGTATACAAATATTTGAACTCAATTCACAATTTATGGTGTGTTACAACAGTATCATTGAAACTAAGGGTTCAGAAGATCTCGCACTTACTACAATCATGTCATGGCCACAAGACATTTGCCTCAAAGTTACACATTAAATCACATATTTAGGGACAAAACAGAAAAGCCACGATTGAGCCCTGAGTACGCAAGGCAACATACACGTGAGAAATAACTGTGAACTCTGACTTGAATTGGACCTTGAACACAGTCTAACCAGTGTTTGTTTAACTTTACAGATGAGAAAAGTGAAATTCAAAAGGTAAAATGACACAACTCCAATCCCAGTTCTTCCCATGACAATTGTGTTACCAACAATACTCTATTATCAACATGCCTAATATATTAGGCAAAAAGGTACTGTATTGAAACCTTTGCACTATTTTTCCCACCAAACAAAACCCCAAAAGAGCAATCTATATATGGTAAATATGTTAAAAGCAAAGAGATTACAAATACAAGGTTTTCTATTGCAAAGAACAGAAATTTTGAGCTCTGGCTTTTCATCTTCTTGTTCTCAAATAATGAACAAGCTTAGCCTAGAACATACAGTTGGTACTATTACAAAAGAGAAACTAGTAAAAAGTGGTTGCTAAAAATAAACTTTTTTTAGCATGCTTCAGGAAAAGGTACCTGGAAACATTTATCTGCTTTCCTCAACTTAAAATTTTGTTTAAACAAAATTTCTTGAGAAATGATTACTAAAAACACAAATTATCTCGTGCTTAACTGGAGTTGTCATTTATTATAGTCTTGTACTTTTTGTACTAAAATTGGGATTCTCAGGACGTCAATAAAAATGTATACCGATCTGAACAAATGTCTAGAAAGCCAGCCAAAGCTTTATGAATCTCACTTTTCATCCTTCTTTCATTTAATTTTCCCAGAAACTTCACTTCATATTTTTGAGAAAATACTTACTATTCCTTTGAAATATGTCTCACAGGAAAGTTTGAATATTGAAGATTTACACCTAGTATGGTAACTTATTCGTAGTAGCAAATCAATGTAGTTGTCACATTGAAAAGCAAATACATTTCTAACCTTTGGGTTTTTTTGGAAATTAAATTACATCAGGGGACCCACAACCCTTTAATTAGCTAATACATTTAAACATTTTGCTAAGCAGATAAGGCACTGGGAACACTAAATGTAACAGCATTTATGCAATACCTCTTGAAATTATGAACTGAGTGCTTTTTGTGTTACAAAATAAAAATTAAAAAAAAGAAAGGAGGCTCTACAAAATAGCTTAGAAAAACAAGTTTTCTATTTATTTAAAAATAAGTTTGTAGTTACTACATTGCAGGGACAGGAATTCTTACACATACATTCTAGTTTGTATAAAAGGATTCAAAGAATTATGCTTCAAAACTAACATAGAAAGTGTCCACCTAACAGTAAAGAAAGGTCCAATCAATATGTACAAAAAGAAAGGGCGCTGCTATTCTGGTGTGAGACTGCCATTTATAACATGGTACTTCAGGTTTCCAGAGAGAAAAACCAAAAACCTCAATAAAGCTAAATAATTAATTTCTTTTTAAAACTCTGTTACTTATTACATACAACAGATCTGCTTGTGTTTAACGCTGTTTTCTGTACAAAATAAGCATTTTAATTTGAAAATGTGTCAGTTTCAACATTAACCCTCTAGGTCAGTTACTTTTCAAAAATTGAGCTACATTCTACACGTCTAAATATCATGTGACAGGATTTAACAGTTGTCTAAAAGATCTTTAAATAAGATCCCATCTTCTTGCAGTTTTAATATGGTCCAAAAATGTAACTTTGTATTTTGTCTCAATTTATAACCTTTCATTGTGATCTATCAACACAGCACAATCTTAAAAGTAACGAGCATGTGTACATCTGCATCATAGGTGTGCATACTATTTATCATCTCAAACCTATTTTCTTAGCTCCTTAAACGTAGAAACTCAGAGCCACCCACTATTATGTATTTGGTTTGTGCCATATAAGGTTAATTTCCTGATGATTTTATCTGCATTAAAAAAGTATTTAAACATGGAGCTATCAAAACTAAAAGTAATATATATATATTTATAGCTCATAATATTTTCTAATTGTTTTATTACAGTGTGTACAAGGCTAGTATCTGGAGCGTCAAAAGTGGTACTTACAGTCTTCTGACTCAATGTGACCTCTTCTTGGGTATTGTACATAGTACAAAATGACTTTCCATCTGGAGTGCCTAGCTCAGTATAATTGAGAACAATAATAGCTTCTCAATAAATCTAATATTTAGTTCAAATCACTTGGAAACTTGGGACATGAGAGGAACTGCAAGGAGGGAAGTGAGGAAAAGGTATATTTTTCAATTTTAGTTAGAAAATAAATTGTCACCTAAATTTAACTAAACCACTTCTCAACCTGTTTTAAAACAAACTAAAAAAACTAAATATGGGATAATTCACAGAGCATAAAAGTCCTTCCCCTTTTGTGACTTTTAAAATCATGTATTTCCTGCATATATGGAGGACACTTATAGCCCTTTTAACACTCAAGTATCTTGGTCCTTTCAACCTACTCAAAAATAAATTTCAGGTGAACAAAAACATTCAGAATAACAATTTGTCTTCATTAGGTAGAAGAGTCAAAATTGCTTCCAGTTGACATCTGAGAGAGAGGTATATATGCATGTATAAAATGGAATGCTAGAATTAAACACTATAAACTGGAGAAGCTAATTTATATTACAAATCATATATCAAAACATGTAAATAATGCTACTATCATTATAAGCAAAAAATGTTATTTGAATACTTTTGTTAAAATGTCTGATTAATCTACTGCACTGCAGATAAGGGAGAATTTAAAATGTTAACATACATGCTACAAGGATCTTTTGTTGATCACTGTATATTACATAATTCATTTCCAAGTGATACTAGATTCAACCAAACTTCGTGTCTCAGATGTGACCTAAGCAAGCTCACAAATACTCTGCACATTTATCTAAATAAATTTAAAGAGGAAGATCATTGTTACAATACAATACAAATAGTCTTCAAATTTGTGATGTTGTGCAATAATAAAAACAATGAAAACACGGCCAAATCTTTAGTTCATGAATATATGCAGAAAATGGTTCAATGCCATAATAGCAGACTGAAAAGAATACAATTTTTTTAAAAAGTGTATGTCTACTGCCCAGTTATCAGACTGTAATCAGACTGTTTAATCTGCTCATATACAACATTCTCTAATTTTATAACATTTCACTGGAACTCAAGAATGTTGGGGTCAAAGGAGAGAATATTGGGGTTAGGTACTTAAAAATGCAAAAACTGATTCACATTTTCTAAGAATGTAACCAAAAGCTGTATTCTGAAACTCTGAATAAACTTAGTATTCTTTTATGGCTCATCTAAGACAACTGCCAACATTTCCTTTGACCTATAAACAATATATATCTGGTGTTAACGGACTCAAAGAAGAGATTTTTCTAGCGGTCAAACAGAACAAGACTATGGTGATGACTTAAATTTCTCAATTCAACTTTTGCAGTGTATAGAAGCTAAATTATAAAAATATAAAATCTAGATATATCTGGTTATTACTAATACATTTTAAGTGTTTCAATTTCAAAGAAGCTGATCCAAGTCATTTTTGCCTAGGAAACCAGTGTCTAATAATATGCAAATAAGGTGATAAGTATATAGTGCCTTTAGAATGTATTTAGAATAATACATTTACTTCTTGCAGGTTAGATGGTAAATACCTTTTTTTTGCTCAAGTGTTAGAACTAATACACCCTACGAGCAGTAAATTTCACTCGAGACTGTGTTCGCTCTTCCTTTCTTTGTACACACCTTAAAACTATACACATATTTTTTACAAAAATGGATTTTATAGCCTTATTTTCTAATACAATGCAGATACCATCAGGAAATTTCATGTTTCAAATAGATTGCCTTCAAAAGCAACAAATTAATGACTTAAATTTCAAACATACACACTATTATATTCAATAATGGTGTAACCAAGAGAGTCGTTTCACTATACAACCAAGCCATCCATTTCTGCATTATGAAGAGTTTAACTACTGAACTTTAATTATATAGTTAAATATATTTGTTAGAAAAAAATAAATATACAAAAAACCTGAAAATTTTGAAATTATTTTCAACTGCAAAATCACAGCAATCCAGTTAAGATCTGGAAAATGGTTTACTTAATTTCACAGGAGGATTTCTGTACAAATTTAGTTACAAACAATCTAAAAAGCCCAAATGCATGACTTTCCATTCTTTTTCAAGACATAATCAACTGACAGCTAACATTTATCCCTACCAGAAATATTACAGAAATAATTATGTAATGTATTTTGCCAAGGTTCAATTAAAGACTTTATTTTTCTACACCAGGGCCATGCTGATACATATTTTCCCCATCCTCACTTTTTAAAAATGTAGTATCTGAAAATTTTGGTTACATTTTTGTACCATACCAGTCCTCAGAAAATACTACATTCTTTAAACTTTTAAAAAAATGGACAATAATCTTTAAACAATAGAAATGGTATTTATGTTGGTTTTTAAGGTATAAAATAACTAACTGTACCATAAACAAATAAATAACTGCTTTCCTTTTCCATAGCAGTACATATAGCAATACATTCTCCTAAGTCATATAGTTATCATTTACAATAGACAACTTAATTTTACTAATGATGCAAAAAATAATAGAATACAAGGCACAATCATTAAATGGAATTTTTCTTTAGGGTGTATACTGACATACCAGCGTGAAGGATACCGTAAAAAGTGCAGAAAAAACACAATGTGCAATGAGACCACTGTATAAAACATGATTGCATAAAAAGTGATTTGGCCTATTTTTAAACCTTTAATAATTGAAAATAACCAATCTTCCCCTTAAAATTAAACTATAAAGTATGACATTTTAAAATTATTTTTATTCTACCACTATCTAAAAAATCCTGATAAAAGAATTTATACCTGGGTAATAGCATATAAGTATGTGTTTGTATATATATTCAATTATACCCATTTGTCAATATATACACATACACACACAGACACATTTCTTTGTAAGTCATTTTAGCCTATTAGATATGTCTAAAGTTTAGAAATGACATTAATCCAGATTAACAAGTAAACATCAAATCCCATACCTTTTTCCTGTTATTTTCCTTGAATCCTTTAACCACTTAAACATTTTCTCTAAAACATCTCTGTCAAAGGACCCACCAGTGCATTATTTTCTACTATTAGTACCAAAAAAAGATACATCTCAGCGTAACTCTTTAATAACTTGCTCTTTAGAATAATATATAGCCTTTCCAATATTGAAAAAGTGTATGCTGTCCTGACAGTCAAAAACAGGCTTTCCACTGCACTGATTCTCAGTCTTTGGCACAATAAACAGAGATTGAGTGATTGACATAAGAATCAAGGTCTGAAAAATTAGACAGTCAAATGTTTTCCAATGTGGATATGTTTCCTTTTCATCAGTACATTTTTCTCTTAAGTTTGGCAGAAATGGAATACAGCAAAAGCCTCCTCTAGATTCTCTGTAGATGAACATTCTATAATTAAAATTAAACTTTTCAGGGTATCAAATGGTGGGAATTTTAAATTTACCTTTAGAGGAAACACAATTCTTAATTCACTGCTACTCTCGTTAACACCTGTCCTCCTAGGGGCAAGACTTCTGTATAAACAGAAATGTACCTGGCTTGGTCAAAAATAATTCATTTTAACATAAAATGCTCTATCACTAAGGAATATTATATGCTCCTTAAGAGTGTAGCAGAATGTCTTTTCCAGAAAAAACTGGGAGTTCATTATAGAGCCTCAATTTCTTTTGCTTTGAACAGTAAATGAAATGAATGTTGAAATGCATAACCTATCTAAGGGCAATAAATAGCAAACATTTAAAATATATATGTATATATTTATATATATATATATATTCATTTAAAGAAGTGAAGTGTCTTGTAAGTTTGTTTGTTTTTTTTTTGCAAATCAAATCATAACATTCCCATATCCATCATAGCAGCAAGGAAGCAGAAGCCTTAGTTCTACATACTCCTTAACTGTACCTGCTTTATAGATTTTGAAGTAAAATATTTTGGTGCAAGTTACCACCCAATTAAATTAGCTTTTGCTTTTTCAGTCAACTTTCGGACTCGTCCTCTACTAGAGGTTCCAAAAGTCAAAGAAGTGTCTTCAAACAACAGCTGCCTTTGCTCCTCTTCAGAGTCATCCTCGTTATAGAAGGCTGTCCTTCGACCTTGATTTCTAGTTCTCATGTGAGGTTCAGAGCCTTTAAGTTCCTCAAATTCCTCTTCCTCATCCATGGGATCATCTGTCTTTTTCCGGTTACTTCTCCTTAGCATTTTAACACCTGTGGGAACTATGAGATCTGAGTCTAGTTTGTGTGTCTTCATCTTCCTTTTGGGTTTTCTGCCTCCACGACTCTTTTTCTGTAACAAATCCTCCTTTACAATATTAGTTTCGGAAAGAAAACTGCAGGTTGAGGAAGGAACTACTTCATCTCTGATGGGATGCACGCTATTTTGCTCCAAATCTTCAGGCTTTGTGTACTGGAGCTTTTTGGGCTTCCGGCCCCTCTTCTTGTGTGTGACTTCACCACTGCTGTTATTAACTTCCACCTTAGGTTTCCTCCCAGGCCCCCTCTTCACAAGCTTAGCCGGCTGCCCTCCATGGCCATTGACTTGAATGCTTCCAGGTACAAGAGCATTGTTTCTACAGTCAGCTGAAAGGGAACAACAGTGCACTTAACATATGAAATTGCTTCTTATCTGACCCTCACACTAGTCAGTAAGTCCACTGCTATACTTACACATAATGATAGAATCCTCATTTTTTTTATTAGTTTGAGAAAAAGAACTGACAAAAAGCTAATAGCTTAATGATATTATTGATCTTCTATTTAAAACTCACAGAAGAGAAACATCCTTAATGAAGTCACTGATGACTTGACCAGAGAGAAATGAAAATCAGCAAATAAATTACCTAAGTTAACACTGCAAATTATGATAAAGCTAGAATTAGCCAAGTTTCTTACTCCTGCTATCTTTACTACACATTGTAATGTATGAGCATTGTTTTCATTATAGAAAGTAACCTGTTTACTCATATGGAACTTCACCATAACAAAGCATTTTAGGGTTTACTTCATTAACAGGATTTTCCTATATTCCTACTATCAAGTAGCTCAATCACAGAAAATAATCTTAGCATGAAATCTATGACCTTTAAGTTTTGTAAACTGAATAAATAAGCGTTATCATCCCCTCTAACTTTCCTCTAATCATTTTTGCTACTACAGGTGGAAGTGGAAAAAGGGACTATCAAAACTGGAATGATTCTAATGCTTATTTAACCCTAGACTGGATGTGATGACCATGACCTCTCTTATATCAGAGAAGAAATTTATAGTCTAAGTATTTCTTTACATTCCTCAGAAGTAAAAAAGGATTTCCTCTTCTACTAACTCCTATGTTAAAGGTTTGAGAGTACATATACTGGAATAATTTATACCAATTGTTCTCCATAGACAATACTATGGCTTTGATATATCTATCCTTTTTACAAGAGTAGAAATAAGTTACTCTTGCTCACAGAATTTTTAAAAGAGGGTTAAGAAAAACAACTAAATGGCAGTTTTCTTCATAAGCTGTTTTTGGAACAGTCCTATCTCCTTATATTACTGAAAGGCAAATGACTGATTTATCACCCTAAGCAATACTAGTTGCATGTATCAATCAAATCCACTATGTGTGTCACTATTATCAGGATTAAAATGCCATTATAACAAACCCTGTAATAAAGGCTATTATGCTTTATTAAAAAAAAAAATCCAAAGATCAAATTCTAGATTTGTAGGAACTGCAAATCATGAACTGCCTTTCTATGGTTTAAAAAAAAAATGCTTATTACCCTTTCAGATGAAGAAAAGATGACAAACAAGGCACTACCACTTTTTTTCTTCCAAAATTCTACAGTTTGTGTCATTAAAAAGAAAGCGTCTTCATTTTTTGTCCGGGGCTTCAGTCGTAGAGTGCTTTGTAAATTTCAAGAAATAACTGTCTCAGAGGAGGAGTCTCTGAAGTAAGAGCAGGGTAAGAAGGCAATGCCCTCAAACCCTGACCCCACAGTACTAATAACTTTTCTTCAGATTAGTGGTTTTGCATAACAGGCGGAGTGCTGAATGGGAGAAATGTGTGTGTGCATAAAGTAGTCAGGTATTTTCTAACTAATACCCTTAATTTGCCTGAGGACTCTAAAGTTCTGTGCTATCCTCCCGTTTGTTTTACATAGGACTAAAGTCAAATATCCAGTTAATATGTCCTACAAAAGTTCTACAGACTGGCTTCAAGGACTCCAGGAGGTAAGCGGGTGGGATGGGGTGTAGTATGTAGGTGTGTGTGTATGTTAGTCGCTCATTCGTGTCTGACTCTTTGTGACTCTATGGACTGTAGCCCACCAGGCTCCTCTGTCCATAAGATTCCCCAGGCAAGAATACTCGAGTGGGTTGCCATTCCCTTCTTTGGGGGATCTTTCTGACCCAGGAATCGAACCCAGATCCTGCCTTGCAGGTAGATTCTTTACCATCTGAGCTACCAGGGAAGCCCTTGAATTGGCCCAAATTTTCTGTGGATATGACTATGTGCATTTTGGGGGGAAAAAACTACAAGATCTTCAAACTTTACAAAACCTAAAAAGGTTAAGAATCAATGCAGCTCTTTTAAAAAGGAATTCAAGAGCTAAAAAGCTTTTGAAATCATTCATTTGGACCTGTACTATCCTATGACAGTATTACCACTAACCATGTGGCTACTGAGCACTTGAAATGTAACTGCAATTGAGGAACTAAATTTTTAATTAAATTTGAATATTGAGGTAGTATACATTTTGAAATACTGATTACACACTGAAATGATATTCTGGATACAATGGGGTAAATAAAATATACTGCTAAACTGGTCATTTCACCTGTTTGCTGTTGCTGTATGTGGTTACAATAACACATGTGGCTTGTATTGTACTTCAACTGTAGAGCACTGCTCTTGTTTCTAATAGCTAATTCAAGTGCCAATATGTATGTGGTAAGTCATCATTTAAGAGTTATGTCATAGCTTATCATATTTCTGTACTGTACTGGCATATGTAATACCCAAAACCTATTGATTGAACTGGCTACTGAACCTCCCCTATTGTAATGCTAGACCCAATTCTCTACATACATTTGATTTCTCCAGAATTCAAGACTAACAGAAGCAAGGCCAATATAACATTCAAAACTCTGAATTCAGTTCAGAAAGGAAGCTAATGTAAAAATGTAAAACACTCACATATAAAGTCATTTGATGATTTATTTAAATACTACTATATACTAAGTACAGGTAATTAAAATATGAGCAAACACAAGTTTAGATTCTTCTGGAGATAGACAATGTAAAAAAGAATAACTCTATCAATATTATAAGGGCCACAAAGGCAATGAATAGGAAACAGCAGAGAGGGGGGAAAAATTCAAAAAAGGAAGAAATGACAAGAATATTTAGAGACTTTCAAGTGGTTTAGGATGGCTGGAACAGAAAAGGGAGAAAGAAAAGTAAGGACAGCCGGAATGTTAGGCAACATTAACATTGTTTTACAAGACACTTCACTGCTTGACATAAACAACATTAAATTCTGATTCCATGTATGATTTGAAGGAAGGGAAAGATCTTAATTCTGTGTGTGTGTGTCTTGTGCACATGATGAGAAAGGTCACTGAAACATGGAAGATGGACTGAGGAAGAGCTGAGAACTGAGGCAGGGACAGCAGTTATGAGCACAGGACAATCTGTGGATGTGAGAATGGGACAGAGGAAACAGATTTCAGAGATGTGAAGGAGGCAGGAAGAAACAAGCACATCTAGTTGCTAAAGAGAAGGCTAGGATGACTCACTGATTTTAAGCTTATTTAGGTGGGTGGATCCCAATATCATTAATCAAAATGGGGTCACCTCATTACAAAAATTAAATTGTGAGAGGTTTCTTGGGGGAATATTGAAAAGGAAATGGTCTAGACACACTCTGGAAGTCATGACAAAAAATGCATACATATCCTTGAGCTGTCTGCTACCAAGAAGACATAATTGTTTTAACATGTCATAGGGTGTATTTTATCAGTTACTTTCTCTATCCTTCAAACATAAAGGCTTTACAATGAAAATCTACAGACAAAAGAATCTGAAAAATTTAAGATTTAAGAATATGGATTATTTAAAGATCAATATGTTGAATTTTGTGATGTAAAAAAACTCGAAAAAAGAATTTTTAAATGCTATACTGGGTTAACTAAATTCAACTTATTTAAACTTCTTGGAGATACTTTTTTGGGTTCTGTAATAATGAAGTTAAAAACTACTAAATCTGTATCATTAAAAGCCTCTGATTTGAGAATATGATTTTATTTTTCATACAGCAAGTTTTTCGTGGCTTTTAAAATTTAATAATACCGTTTGCCTTTGGTACAAATCAAAAGATGTCTCAGTAAATTTATCAACTGACACAGAATATGTGACTTTTAAATGAGCAACCTAAAAAATGAATGTAAGTGTTATCTCCAATAGAATCATCATTTGTAAGTCTACGGTACCTTGCTCAATGACAGGTGATGACTTTGAGAGAGGGGGTGTCTTTGAGAGCACAGATGATTTCATTTTACGTTTGGCTGGCTTTTCCTTTTCCATATTTTCTTTTGTAGAATTATTCCTAGTGCCATGACTAAAATTGGACTGACCAGGACTTGAAAGAGTATTCAAGGTTTTGGAATGTTTCACAGAATTCTCTAGAACTAAAACACACATACAGGAGATTACAAGCTAAGAGTTAAATTATTTAACCTTCAAACAAGCAAGAAGGTTAAGATTACATCTAATGTGAATTGTGTGAATTAGCCAATAAGACAAAACCTGGAAGATGCTTAACCTTCTGTAAGAAATCTACTTTCAAAAAGGGAAAAGGCATACATAATAATTTCAGTGCTTTCAGAAGCTGTCCAGTCACCAAAAGATTATTAAGGCCAAGTGCTGGCAAACTGCTATCAAGTCTGGCTTCCAGGATTTAAATTTAGGCAGTTTGGATCAGATTTGCCATTTTTCCCACCATTTTAAGCATCATCTTATACTGACACTCCTAAACCTCAGTATCTTTATCAATAAAACAAAATTTTTTAAAAAGTGCAAAAATGATAAAACAAAAACTAATTATAAAGAAAAGTAGAAGTCCAGTGTCTGCTGGAATTTACTAAATCTAATATATCCCATTTGGCAAAGTAAGTACTTAAATTAAAAAATGCATTATATATATACACTCTAGTTTAGAAACTGTAGCTGATTCTTACTTGTTTTCCCCGGCACTGCAGATGTATTAGCTTTTGAAATAAAAGTCTTTGCTGCTGAAGAAGTAGATGGTTGCTCAGTGGTAACTGGATCTACCACCACTCGATTGCTTCTGGTTCGAACTACAGAAATGGATTCTGTTTTACCATTTATCTGAGCAGTATTGTGCCTTGGTGGTATTGACCGTGTAGGTGCAGAGAATGGAGAGGTAGTAATATCTGACTTCAGCTGGGGTTTTAAGATCCTCTTTTTCCTTTCAGGGCTGTAAATAAAATAGTATCATTAGTCATTCTTGTAATTCTATGGGGATGAATAAAATAGTTTTATAATACTGCTGGATTCAATATTTGTACTGTTATGAAATATGTTAAAATATGAGATTTGTAGTGGATTTCATATGGTTGTGAGCCTTTGAAAAGTGAATATTTAGTGAAGGATTGCTGTAAATGCTATAGTTATATGACAGAAAGCATGATGCCATCACTATCCTAAAAATGCTGTTTAACTGTACAGATTTAGCAGTTTGAATTTAAGCACTTACACTAATATAGCTTTAGTTAAAAGATTAAAAATCCTCCACATCATAGGAACTTGCATGTCAAATATATCATTCTGCAATATAGGGAATAGTAAAGGAAGGATTAAAAAACACTAAGTTCTATCACTTAGATGACAAAGTTATATAGATCAGTTGATGATATTTAAAAGAAATCAAATACCTTGATGCGGCACTACTGGAAACAGAGCTGCTTCTATTTCTTTTCCTCCTCCTTTTTGTTATTGTATTTCTTTTATGAAAACGAAGGGCAGATTTATAATCTGATAACACTGAACTAATGTGTTCTTCAAAAAAAGCAGATAGGCGCAAACTCATGCTGTAAATCTAGAAAGAAAAAAAACTGTTCAAATGTTCTGCAAAGAAAATGGCTGTTCAGAAAATATTACATATAAATTAAAATATTTTTCTAGCAAAAATCTTTTAGAATTTAAAATGTTACTTTTTCTCAATCTTTTTTGACAAGCACTAAAACTGAAGCATTATTACAATTATTTTTTTATGTAGCATTATGACAAATTATTTTTGTACTTGGCTAAAAAAAGGTTAATGATATTTACAGTTTTACTCATTCTTTTGAATTATAAGAACATTAAATGGAAAAAATGCTCCTTTCCAGTAAAGCAGAACATAGCTAAAAAAGTTAAGCCCATGGACCTCTAACATGTATCAGGAAAGTACATACATGGTATCTATTCAACTATACCATCTTTAGGACAAGTAACATTCCTAAACATTAAATGACATCAGCGTTTTTCACAGAAGGAATAACGTTTTTCACAGAAGGAATAAAATAGAAAGATGTGAATTCTTCTTTCCACTAGGTTAAGAACCTAATAGTTTGTCAACTCAGCTCTAAATTTTAATTAAATATAGCATCTAGTTATTTAAAATACTTTTCTACTAATTTCATTTAATTTAGACAGAAAAAAAGCAATTAAATTATATACCCTTGATCTTTTGCTTGGTGTATATGCTTTGGAATTACTGAAAATAAGTCTGACATCTTTACATAACTCCATTGGTGACTCATAATTCCCAGCTTCTAAAGTCTCTCTAACGGTAGCAAAATCCATTGGAGTGTCAATGATGTCTCTGTAGTCCTAAGAGAAGGAAAACAGGTCATATTATTAGTAATGATGATGCATTATTTCTCATAAAAGAGTCATATACAATTTCTGTGATGACTGCAACTACTAGAACTATTAATAATCATTTCTTGTTTCCCTCTTCAAGGTTCCTTTTTTCCCAAATCACTTTTTATTTTTATTTTTCATGTCCCTTACCTTTTATTGCAATCAACACAGGATTTCTCTCATTCAAGAACTTATAAATTCTGCTTTTTTTTTTCTGCCTTCAGAAAGAGGTATAGCATGGAGTTTTGTTGGGAAAAGGAGATTAAAACAATATTGAAAAACTCAGTTCTAAAACTACAAGTTTGATGTAAAAAACCCAAAACTTTATGCTACACATAAACGCGTAAGGCTGCTTATTCACTGAAACATAACTGTATCTTTAAAACTGACATAAAAACAACGAAAATATAACATCACATTAATGTGAAGGGCTTAGTTCTAGTAACTTCAACTTCAGTAATACAATAGTACAATTGGGAACTTTGCACAAATCAAGAATTATGAATGAAAACATCTGTCACAAAGTCTTTATACTTCATTTTATGGAGGAAAGTGCAATCACTCAATCTCCCCTACTCAACCGTGTATAAAATAAAGCAACAAATTAGAAGTAATAGAAATAGACAAATAAAATGAGAAAAAAGCAACAGACTAGTTTATAAAAGGATCTAAACATGCTACCTTTTAAGAGGAATAAATAATACTATTTCCATAGCCCCAGAATATGTAATTGTATTTTTTGGAATATAGTAACTTGACTCTACCCCATCAAGTTTAAATTATGATCAAGTATGTTTGATCATAAAGCAAACAGTAAAACTACCTTTTACCAACAGGGACAGTTTTCTTTCTTTCTTTACAATCTGCAATGCCTTTTCTTTTCATTTCTTGTCTTATTGCACTGGCTACAATTTGCAGTACTATGTTAAAACAGCAGTGGTGAGAATAACAGTAGATATTTTTGCGTCACTCACAACCTTAGGGGGAAAAGCATTCAGTTTTTCATGTTTAAGCATGAGGTTAGCTGTAGGTTTTTTAACAGATGTTCTTTATCAAGTTATGGAAGTTCCCTTTTATTCCTAGTTTTCTTTAGAGTTTGTTTTTATCATTACTGGTGTTGTTTTCTTACATTATGTAGGTCTAGTTGATATCCATTCATCATAGGGTTAACTATGTTAATTATCTTACTTTCTGTATTCTTGATACTCTTTTGACACTTGGAGGGCCATACAGGCCTAAGGAGAGACTGCCTCTTTCCAAGGACTAGGCAATTCTTAGAAACAGCAAAGGATTGTGCTAGGAATGTATCTTTCATATGCAAACTAACCATGTCCTTAAGCAACCACACACCAACCAGTATTTCCTCTGCCCTGAATCATCCCAGGTCAGCAATTAATATTAAGACACCTAGAGACCACCCTCCTACCCCGAAGTCCACTGGAGTAATTCAAACTAGCCCATCTTAAGCTGCTGACTAGGCCCAGCCTTGCCTCTCATGGAATTCTCTGGCCTAAGATTTTCCTTTCCTCCTATCTTCTGCAACCTGACTAAAACCTTGTACTTGCCCTGTAGCCTTAAGTGGCATCTGGTTAAACCCTCTCTGGGACAAGCCAAGTATAATAAATTTCTTCCTTCCAAGACTCATTCTCATTTCTTCCCATGGCCACAACGATTACAGCATACCATAGCCAACGTGTCATTCTTCAGATTATGAGACTGACGCACTGCCTACTGCGCTAAGAGGGCAGATCAACGTGTCATTCTTAAAAGAAACACGTTCTGAATTTTGTCAAATGCCTTTTCTGCACTGATACGATGTTATGTTTTCCTTAGTAATTAATTACAATGATTGATTTTTAAATACTGAAACAGCCTTATATCCCTGGGGAAAAAACCCACTCAGGGTACAAAATCATTTTTATATACTGGTGAATTCTATTTGCTGGGATTTTATTAGGAATTTCTGCATTTTCTTCTTTAGTACAGTTTTTGTCTGTTTTTGACACCAGGATAATAATTAGCTTCATAAAATGAGTATAGAAGCATTCCTTATCTTGAGGAAGAGAGTGTGTAGAATTTGTGTTAATTCTTTAAACATCTGGGAGAATTTTTCAGTGAGGATACCTGGGCTTAGAGATTATGAAACAACACTTGGGCTTGCAAGAAGCAAAGGGAGACCCACAGGTTCCGAGCACAAAGACCTGAACCCAGAGCCCCGCGGCACTAGCTTGTTTCTTCTAAAGGTTTTCAGATGGTAGGGTTTGAATTAGCCTAATTTATCACACTGTTGGAATTAAAGATTTATCTTCTATATTTAAGATTACATGTTTCTTATTTTTAAATGGCAAGAAAAAAGTCATTTTATGGTATCTATCTATCGATGAAATTTCTCTATTTTCACCATTGCAAATTAGAATACATATATAACAAAACAGATTATAAAGCTACAACAGATACCACAACCAGGTCATGATCTCTTATAAAAATTTTAATTTTCATTTGAAACCATGAATGTCATCTGAACCATACAGTCTTTAGTAACTGAAACAAAGAATACAAAAATCACTCAAAATTAAATTTAGATTGCTAAGATTGCAATAAAAAATAAACTTATAACATGTTTATTCAAACTTTTTACCACGAATTCCATAAAAATCATAAATTGGCATAACCTACATATACAATAACACAACCTTACATTTACATAGTGTTTCAGTTTAAAATCTATTTTAATGTTTAATAATAAGTAGTAATATTCTCATTCCGTTTCTATAACTCTATAATAATGATTTAGATTTATATTAATCTTAGAGATAATAATAATTATTAGTATTATTCTTGTTTCCTAGATAATTTCCATAATAAATCCATAAAATTAGAATGGAAAAGGAAATGGTAAAAATATAGCAGATATAAAAACTAAGTAACTTGCTCAAAACTGTAGAACTGGTAAGAGGCAGAGCTGGGACAATAACTCAATTCTTTGGAGTCTTAGTCCACGGTTACTTCTCTTTTACCACACTGTTCAATTTAGATGCTCTACATAATCAGATGGATAATGGGAACATGCTTCAAATAAAAAATAAATAAACTATAATCATAAAAATAAATAGTAAACTGTCATGTTTAAGATACATATATATACACAAAAATCAAAGTGGCAAGTATTTTCAAAAATACTTACTGGATATTCAAGAAGATCTACTGGCTGGCGGAAAGGCTCAGAATCTTCACATTGAAATATGAGATTTAACAATTCTTGACACTGTTTCTTCCATGCTTGAATATCATAAGACTGTGCTCTGTTACGTAGTCGTCTTCTAGGCTGATGATCCTAAATTAAATGTTCAAATATATCAATAAAATAACACATAATACAATTTTCATTTTTAATCTTGGATAACTAGGTAATAATAGAGTAATTCAGATAAAAGAAAGCATCACTCATCTAGTTCTGAAAACCATGCATTTACCATGCATTTCTGTGATGGAAGCCAATTTGGAAGTAACACTTAATCTATCTTTGAAACTACTAAAAGTAAAAAATTGTTCAATACATTTTAATTCATATAAAGTACTTTGTTAAAACAAAAATTTATTACCTTCCTTTTCCGGGTAGAAGTTCCTGGCACATCAGCATCTTCTTTCTCTTCTTCCTTTGAAGCAAGAATTATCAGATTAATAAAATATTCAAGGTTCCACTATATTCTACAGTCTTTTAATACCAATTATCTCCTTTACATTTTGGAAAACCCATAGTATATATGATACTCTAACACTTAGGTGAAGGTGAAGTCGCTCAGTCGTGTCTGACTCTTTGCGACCCCATGGACTCTAGCCCACCAGGCTCCTCTGTCCACTTAACTGACTCATTAAAAAAGTCTCCCTCCACCCACTGTTTAAAACAATTTTAACTGAAATAATTCTCATTTTTTTTTTTAAAAGTTAACTGATACCATTAGGCAAAAAGACTTCATAATAGCAGTTGTCTGAAAACTACTATGTGTAAATTTCTTTTTCCTATATAGGACACAACCAATGTAGTAATCATAAGAAATATTAAATACCTCAGAGTCAGACAAAACTTTCTTCTTCATTGAATTGTAGAGTGGAATTATGTTATAACAAGTCTGATCCCTAAATAACAAGGAAATGTTAGTATACAAGATTGGAGTCACTAGTTTTTTGTACTTTAAACCTGTTACTAAAACCAGATTTTAAGATAAAACTTTTGAGCTGAAGACTTTCTTCATCAGTTAACTCCAAAAACAGATGCATACATCTGCCACTGCCCCTCCCCTCCACGTGAAGCCTCCACCCTGGCCCATTTCATCACACCAAGCCCAATTTCCATCTCAGGTTTTGCTCAGGTCACTGCTGTGTCTAGAACGCCTTCCCTCCTTCTTCAGTCTACAAGAGTTAGGTAGTTTACCTCCTGTCTTCTATACCTTCTTCCTTTTATTCTTAAGTGTAGGCATTCCCTAAAATTTTGTCCTTAGCTATCGTCTATACCTTTTGCCCAGATCATCTTATATAGCTGCAGTTTTTCTGTGTTAATGAACTCCAAATTCCTATAATCTGGTTTGACTCTTCAGGTGATTCCTACCACCATCTAAAATTCCCATGTCTAAACCCAATTGTCATTTCCCACTCTCCCTTTTCAACTTTTTTTCATTCACACAGTAATGAATGGTTTATCCTATCTCTTCCTTTGCCTCCTCCTTATATACCTAATCACTGGTCAAGTTCTGTGATTCCACCTTCAAAATCTCTCGACATCTGCCTGCTTCTCACTTTGATAAATTAAGTTTCCATCACTTCTTACTTGGTCAGCTATAGAAGTCAATCTGCAGTCAAATTAGTATTTTTTTAGGCAATTTGCATCATGTTATTCTCATGTTAAAATAATTTCAATAGTCCTTCGCTTTCTGTCTCTTCCCCATCAGTTAACATTAGACACTGCAGTCAAATCAGTATTTTTAAGGCACAGCATGCCTCATGCTGTTCTCATGCACAAATATTTTCAATAGCCTCTTGTTTCCTATGCTCCTATTTTAAGTCTAGTTTGTTAGATCAGCATTTGAGGTCCTCTGTGATATGGTCCAAACTTAAGTTTAGCACTTCTACCACTATTACTTCTGCTCATGTACTCTCTACTTCACCTGATTTCAATTTACTCAGTTCCCTTAACAAATCCTTACTTCTCTCCCTCATGCCATTCCCCATCCCTGGAAGTGCTTTGCTTTCATCTAACTTTTGAATCACTATCTACCTTGTACATACATCTCAACATACTTCTCCCTGTGCCTGAAGTCCCACTCTCATAGCCAGAAGTGACCCTATCCTTCATCCAAACATTCACACAAACTCTTTTTACTTTTTCCCTGTATTATAGTCACAGATTTATCTACCCTATAAAGCTGTATTAAGAGGGTAATTATGCATTTCTTTCTATCTCCAAGTATCTATTACAGCACTTTGTATGTATCTATTACTTGAAATTTGGCCAAATAATTAAAAAGTAGTTACCAAAATTTCAAGACATACAAAACATCTTGAAAAGTACTGCCAGCTGAAAGTGGTTTTTAACAATTATATACCATTAAAAAACTGTGTATATCTAAAACCACTTTTAGATAATATATAACATAAAAGCACTATTATTTTAATCTATTTTCATGAGGCATTTCTAAATAACTATTTGAAAGAAATATAATTTCAAAGCCTATTCCAGATGTGATTAATTTGCTAAAATATCAATTTATCATGTGATTCTAGTGATCCCTATTTCTTTGGAAAAAAGATGGTCATAACATACATAATAAAACACAAAATTAAAGATTTTAGTTAAGATATTATAAACTTTATAACCAATTTATATAAACAGTTTTCTGAGCATAACTAAATTTTTATTATGTTGATTATCAAGTTTACTGAAAATCAGCAAAAGCCTAGCAACAGCAGCCCTGGAACTACTTACTACTTGAAAGGCAAAGCATTTCCTTAGAGAATAAGGTAGAGGAAGGGCATTAAGCTTACCATACTAATTTTCTTTGGTGGTTTTTCATATTGGAATTACCTACATTCCTTAGCAAAACAAACAAAAACAAACCCATCTAACACCAAGAAAAGGGACCCTATGATTAAGCCGAGTAATGAGAATGAAGCTGAAGATGTTTAAATAAAAAGCCTCAATCCCTTTATATAAAAATGGAAGCTGATAGGAGAGTATTGAAACTTAAGTTATAAAATATCCTATTAATGAGAAAAAATTATCAAATATAAATAACCTTAATATGAATTCAGAGCTGTATTTTATACAAAACGTATGATCCATTCCTCCAGCTTCAATTTAGGAGACTCAACTCATTCTATGAATACATAAAATCCATAAGACAAAGTAATAAAAACCCTACTGTCGTAAGAAGTATAGCTATCACTCTTGGTATGGGATTAATGAATGAGGAAATAAACTTCATTTTGAAGAAAAAAGGCTTTGTTAAGTTCAGTTTCCTGCTGACCTATTTGAATACTTTTTCATCAACCTGACAGGGATAATACAATATTAAGGTGAAAAGTTCTCAAATAAAATGGCAGACACTCATTTAATGTGAAAATCAAACAAGTTAACCTCTGAAAGATTTCATTTTCTTAATTGTAAATTCCAGATAATGACCTCTACCACCTGTTAGATTTTTATTTGACTTAGAAGAGCTTATTAAGGTACAACATTGCATGTTCTATAAAAGCTTGCTATTATTATCTAACATTGGATTTAGAGAAACATCCATGTTTTCTTATGTAAATCAGAACCCAACTGTAATACAATCTCTGTGATTTCGTAATTATTATCAGCCAATGAACTTACATATGCTTCCTATTTTGAGAGGACCTGTGGTTGTATCACAGCACATATTTGTGTAGTATGACAAGACGTATAATAAAAAATGATTGTATTCTGTTTCAACATTTTACATTTTAAAATACCACCATTAATTATTACAGTAATATAATTAAGTGTGGAAAAATAACTCACTTTATAAAATGTAGAAGAAGATCAGTCACAAATTTAGCAGATTTCACAATAGGGCTTCCAGGCTCATTAAATGTTCGTGTATTATGCTCTATATATCGAACTTCCCACATTAGGGAAGAAACTCGCCTTTAAACAAAAAAAATGCAGAAGCCTTATTAGCCTCTTTAAAATAAAGTTAGAAATACATAAACACATTTTAAAACCAAGACATTCTGACTTTCTAATTGCAGTCTTAAATCACAGTCTTAAATCAGCTGTAAAACTCACACCTTAAAAAACTGTTTCCAAAAAAAAAACAAAACTGAACTTCATTTGTGTCATACGGTAAAAAAAGAGTAGCAATATTATGTATAGGCATAGAAAATGTCTGGATTAGAAACATTAGACTATCAACAGGGCCTTCATTTAGGGAGAGAGACTATAAGGAGAGCATGAGGAGGAGAGAAACAGTGGAGTTTCAGTTTTTCCTTTATATATTCTTTTCATGTATGGTGTCAATTTTAAAAATAAACATATCTAACTTTTTCATAAAAAGGGAAACAACCAATTTCAATCTAATTCTATGGCTAGTAATCAAGTAACATTTAAAAGTGAAAAGCTAACCAAACAGCCTGCTTAAGGGACACAAAAATACAAAAACTTAGTTTTTGTATTTATTAACTATACTAAGAAATCTATCGAAATGAAAAAAAAATTTCTTTACACTAAATTAATGATATAGCTGATCCTTGAACAATGCAGCAGTTAGGGGCACTGACCCTCCTCAAAGTCTAAAATCTGGGTACAGACGTTAGAATTGGCTTTCCCTATCCAAGGTTCTGCATCCATGCATTATGTAGTACTACAGGTATCACTGAGGAGGGCGTGGCAATGCATTCCAATATTCTTGCCCAGAGAATCTCATGGACAGAAGAGCCTGGCAGTCTATGTGGTCACACAAGAGTCAAGACACAACTGAGTGACTAAGCACAGCACAGTACAGGTATTACTGGAAAAACATCCGTGTGTAAGTGGACCTGCGCAATTCAAACCCAGGCTGTTCATGAGTCAACTGTACTAAAATTTTGGAGTTTTATTTTACTTCAGTTTTAACTAAAGAAACATCCAAAGGTAACGTTTAGAATATCAACCAGCTTAAAATGACATGGAAGAAAATACTCAAAAAACCCTACTGATGTGTAAACAGAAAACAATTATATGGCATTTAAAAAACTACATATATATAACTGTGCATATAAAAGCATACAGAAAAGCTTCTTTAAGTTTCCAATAGCATCTCCATGGCTCATTCTTTAATAAAAGAATCACATGCCATTTTCAGGGTACACCATAGAAACTATGTATAAAGGAAGGCATGAGGATTTATTATCAGTAGGGCAAACTGACAGTGGTTTAAGACTGTGAACTAGAAGTTCCAGAGGGAAACTATAAACTGTAGGAAGTCTGAAGCCAATGAGCAGAGGAGAAGCAAAAGAGCCTTAAACAGTGAAATCGCACATGATGGCTTCATTATTATGAAATAAGACATAACTCAGGTCTGTAACTACATTATCTGGTTAAAAATCAGGCCATTTCTAACTTAAGAAAGGACTCTGTTTCAAAAGATCTTTTCCTCAATTGATTACTAAACTAGGCTACAGCCAAAAAGCATAATTAAGTTGCAATGTAAAGAGTACACCTTAGCAATTCTTATGCTGGGCAGAATTTCTATGAGAAAGTACATTTTTAACAATGGTTGGAGATGGCAGAAATTTATCCTTGTAGATGCAGTCCAACTATTAGAATATAGAAAAAAATTTACATAGAAAAATATGAATACAAAATATGATGAAAAATTTCCTTAAGTTAAATAGTAACTTAAATAAATAGCAATATAAATAATTGCGGTAATATAAAACAGGTCACAAAAATTAAGTTTTAATGCACTATTAGTTAAAATGCTATTGGTCTGCTAAGCAAAAATCATTAAGAAAGATGAAAAGCTCAAAGGATGATTTCATTTATGTCAAAAAAATGAACTTAATCTTACTTTTTGTTAAGACATGTTAGCCGATAAACCTACAAAATCTGCCCAAGATTAGAACTCAATGTTTATCAATACTGCTAAGTAGCAGATGCAAATTAAATGAAATTACATCTTTTAAAAATGCTAGTTATATTTCAAACTAAGCTACAACTATAATAAAGTAGCCCAAATTTTCCTAATTTCACTTTTAAGAAGTATTCATTAAGCTAAATTAATAAGAATAATTTTTAATATTGTTCTATGAAAAAATCCATGAACAAATATCTCAATGTGCTCTAGGAGAAAATAAAAATACGTTGGACTACTTCATAAAATACAGTATGAAGAGAGCGACCGTCAATTCATATTTATTTCTAAGTGTGGTCCATAGACCAGCAGCACCAGCACCACTGGGAACTTGTTAGAAAGGCAGTATCTCAGGTCTACTCTAAACCTACTACCAGATTCTGCATTTTTAACATGATCCCATTGTTAAATGGAATGTGCATTAAAATTTGAGAAACACTGCCTCGGAGGATCAGTAAATGGGTGACAGAAATCATTTAGCTTTCTTTTGGCAGTAGCTACAGCAAGCAAATGATTCTAACCTGTAAAACCTGTTTTCCAGTCTTTGTTTAATCGTACTTAAATCCGTTGGATATGCCACTACAGTGCAATACATAGGATAAGCTTGCAGATCCACAGGAGCCACAAATGCTGAAGCAATATCTAAAATAAATAAACAAGTTTATAAATTCATTTTTTTATTGCTTAAAGTACTTCACAATTCTGCTTGAATTAAGCCTTAAGTTCCAATCCACATAACTATTAGTCTACCACTATCTTTTGACAGAAAAAACATACAGTCTAGCTAACACAGATTCACTTTTTATTATGTCTGCATTTATACTGCAAAGTTCTAGGAATGTTATTCAAAGATTCTTTGGCAAAGATGATAGACAATATATAAATCTGACCTATTAAAGAACATCCACATGTACTTCCATAATTAAAACCAGGTCATTCCTGAATCTATGTTATGTGTTTGGCAGTAATTGTTTTGACATAATTACTAAAATTAACTTAAGACAGTAATTAAGAGTTGCCATCTTATAAAAGACATCAGATGAAAATATCATCCAGTATGTGTCTCCAATGTCTTCAGCTCTTATTCACAGTAATTTCTACCTTAGACTCTTTGAAGCAGATTCCCTACTCAAAGAGTATGTATTTTGTCTACTCAGAGTTCAGATAAATCTACGGTCACTGTTCTTTCTTCAAACAAAGCAAAGCAGTTCATATACCCTCATCTCTCCCTTTACAATATTCCATTGTGTGTATGTACAACAAGTTAAGAGGAAAATGGTAGAGCTACCCACACAACTCAGCTTTCAACTCTTCTCTCCTCTAATTTACATCATGCCAGCCTGAGTATGTCAAGGGTTTTAAAATTAGGTCCTGGAGGATCTACAGGTACCCCTGGCATTTTTGGAGCCCTCACTCTGAAATTCAGTTTGCTGTTGTTCAACTTCTAATTTGTGTGTGACTCTTTGTATCCAAAGGACTGCAGCACACCAGGCTTCCCTGTCCCACACTACTGATACCATAAATACATCTCATCCTCTGTCACCCCCTTCTCCTCTTGCCCACAATCTTTCCCAGCATCAGGGTCTTATTTTCCAATGAGTCGGCTGATCCCCAAAGCCAAAGTATTGGAGCTTCAGCCTCAGTCCTTCCAAAGAACATTCAGGGTTGATTTCTTTTAGGACTGACTGGCTTGATATCCTTGCAGTACAAGGGGCTCTCAAGAGTATTCTCCACTACCATATCTGAAAGAGTCAATTCTTTGGCGCCCAGCCTTCTTTAAGGTGCAATTCTCATATCCATAACATGACTACTGGAAAAAACATAGCTTTGACTACAGGGACCTTTGTCAGCAGTGATGTCTCTGCTTTTTAATATGCTGTCTAGGTTTGTCACAGCTTTTCTTTGAAGGAGCAAGAATCTTGTTAATTTCATTGCTGCAGTCACTATCTGCAGTGATTTTGGAGCCCAAGAAAATAAAGTCTGTCACTGTTTCCACTTTTTCTCCATCTCTTCTCCATGAAGTGATGGGACTGTAGGCCATGATCATGTAGGTTTTTTGAATGTTGAGTTTTAAGCCACCTTTTTCACTCTCCTCCTTCACCCTCATCAAGAGGCTCTTTAGTTCCTCTTTGCTTTCTGCCACTACAGTGGAATCATCTATATATCTGAGGTTGTTGATATTTCTTCCAGGAATCTTGATTCCAGCTTGTGATTCATCCAGCCCAGCATTTTGCATAATGTACTCTGCATAGAAGTTAAATAAGCAGGGTGACAATATACAGCCTTGAGATACTCTCTTCCCAATTTGGAACCAGTCTATTGTTCCATGTCTGGTTCGAACTATTGCTTTTTGACCTGCATACAAATTTCATAGGAGGCAGGTAAGGTGGTCTAGTATTCTCATCTCTTGAGAAATTTTCCACAGTTTGCTGTGATCCACACAGTCAAAGGTTTTAGGGTGGTCAATGAAGCAGAAGTAGATGTTTCTGTGGTACTCCCTTGCTTTCTCTATGATCCAGTGGATGTTGGCAATTTGATCTCTGGTTCCTCTGCCTTTTCTAAATCTAGCTTGCACATCTGAAGTTCTTGGTTCACATAGTGGCTGATGCCTAGCTTGAAGGATTTTAAGCATATACCTTGCTAGCATGTGAAATGAGTGCAACTGTGCAGTAGTCTGAACACTTTTGGCAGGCACTGAAATTCAACTAAAGCATTTATAAGTGTTTTAGATATTTGAGTCTTATGTAAAATTGCATTAAAAAAATCACTTAAAAATATTTGAAAACACTGACTTATGATATTACAAAAAAAATTTTTGCCTGAATAAAAATGTTTTTCTTTCCTTTGCTTACTAGCAACATTTTCTAGCTATCGTCATGCATATATATGTGGATGGATAGATACACACACACACACACACACACATATAGAGAATATATATATATATATATATATATATTCATAAGCTACTATTATTTACCTAGTGTCATCAACTGGTTTATTCCTGTAACAATTCTTTCACATTCCTCATCCCTGGGATTGGCACCCCATTCGCCATCAAGAGGCTTATAGATCAATGATCTGGTTTCAACATCAGTTAAAGGAACACTGGTACCTAGTTCTTCAGGAAATACAGCTGAAATAGAAAGAAATGAGATTTAATGAAAATATGTGGCAATGTAACTAATATTTAAGTTACCTTTAGAAATCAGAGTTCATATTTTTATAAAATTAAAGTATACCTTTGTAAAGATTTGGTAAATATTATTCTTTATTTTCATTAAAGGAAAGTTATGTTTCAAGAGTCAATAAAATTTATTCTTTAAAACATTAACCTCATAATTAATTTTCTAGATGAGCATGTAATTACTTCTCCAAAATTACACCTCACAACTTGCTCTGCTATCAGTTACAGGTGAAGGAGAAAGTATTCCTATAAAATCATGAAAACTGAAATAATTTCTGAATCATTTCATAATATATAATCTCTGTATTTACTGATAAAACATGCCAGGTGAATTTGAACAAAAGTGGTATTTTTTTTTTTTTTAGAAATGTTTTAATTAAAGCCTCACTGTTTTTATAAAAGTGTAGGGACAGTCAGAATTATGAATAATGACAGATGATGCTTAGGCTTTTTGCTCTTAAATGATGAAGGTATGCTTTCTGCATGTCTGAATCGTTAATAGAATAATTAGGGGGTGGTGGTAACTTAGAAACTATCAATCTGCCAAGGCAATTTTTCTTTGAACTAGACTTCATGAGAGAAACATTTGGAAATATGTTACTATCTGTTAATGCAACTCCTCCTCTTCTCGAAATGTAATTACTCTTTAGTGCCTATGTATGTATACCCAAATAGAACAAAAACAGCAAAAATCACACACAACAATATACTGAGGTAGGAAACAACAGCGCATTACTGTTACTCATTCATTTCAAGAAATACCCCAGGCATTACATCAATTAGCTTCATTTCTCTCACATTGACAAGTCTGATGTGACTTCAAATTCAAACCTTCACAAAGGAGAGAAATAGAACTGGAAGGTAAGTCATGTAATACATTTACAAGCCAATTAAGATATTTTATAGTGTTAAACAACTCTAATTTAGCAATGAGATGAAAAAGACATTATTGGTATTGGTCTCTCAAAGTGACAATTTCTAGAAAGAACTAGTCTTAATCAAAATCAGCATGACCATTTTCTCATTTCTAAGATTTAGCAGATTGGGTTTACTTTTTTCACATTATCTTTTTTCTGATTTTTTTGAATATAGTAATTATTGAGGAATACCATTTATAAATGATCACTTCCACTATGTTACAAGTCAGGTTGTTTTTCTTTTTTTTTTTAATTCTTATCTGATAGTAAAAGTAACACACTATTAAAAAAAAAAAGTAATGTAAAAGATAATTTGTGGAAGTCCTCATATCCCCATTCTTTAAACCTTTTTAGGCATATACAGTTGCGTGTGTTTTATTTTCTTAAACTTAAACAAATATGGGCAATGAAATAGAAAATGCAATATCCAGGCTTTAGAAACACTGTTCTTTTCTCAGTTCCAGGAAGATGTCATACTTACTGCCAAAGGCTAACTCCCAAATTCTAAGGCGATGTGTCAAGCCAAAAGCAAGATGACAGTTATTATTATTAATTATAATTACCTACTCATTGAGACCTCACATGTGTCAGGCTCTATAATAAGCACTTTACACATATGATATCATTTACTTCTCACAGCAGCCATGTAAGGAAAGTATTAGTTTATAGTTTCAAAGACTGAATCCTAAGCATCTCGAGTTTCAAGGCTTAAAGGAACTTGTCAAGATGACACAGAAAAGATGGCAGAGCTGGGATACGAATCTATACTTCATTCAAAAAAGCCTGACCTCTCAGTTATTATGTTGTATTCTACGTATTTACTGGAGTTGTAAAAGTATCTTTGCTCCCAAGTGCTCATCTTCTACAGTGAATAGTAACAAGCAAATCAGTATATTTTGCTGTTAATTATCTTCAACATTCCCTCTTAAGCTACAAATTCCAAGTGAACAAGGATTATATTTAGTCTATTCACTATTATGCCTCCCCTACCTTCAGGGTCAATAAAAATGCATGTGGAATGAATATTTTTAACTTGTTCTTCATCAAGAACTCTTTGTACCTACAAGTTATCAAATCAGATTTTTATTTAAGAAATGAATTCCGTAACATAGACACAAAAAACTTTACACTTACCATTATTAGGTATAAGCTCCATATCCCAAGGACTCATCTTTTCTGTATCTCCATTGTCCCAGCTTAAAGAAAGGAAAACCTTTATATTAAAAAATCTAAACACCACATTGCAATTTCAATAAAATCACACTGAAAAATAAAATAACTACTTCAGTGTTTAAAAGGAGTATCTTTAGCATTTTAACAGATGGGGAAAACATTCAAAGCAAGTCATGCTGAACCAAAACACAATACTTCCTTACCAAACATTGTAACACTGGAACAAACTATCAGGGTACTCAGGCTGAAGTGGTTCCTGGCTCTCTATTGTTCCAAACCACCAGGCATCATCTATGACTGATCTGAAACGGTCACCTGGACAAGAATAAAAGCCATCTCATTACTCTTAAATGAGACGCTGCTGCTGCTCTTCTTTCCCAAAGTATCACTTTAAGATACTAAGAAGTCTGTATTATTATTAAAAGATCTATGAAAAATGACCTATACACTCCAAAATAAATTAGTAAATAAATAAAATCAGCAATACTGAGAAGAAAAGCACACCTGAAGTGTGACTTATCACCTTTCAGACCATTTTTTACCTTTTACTATGGGGTAAGGAGAAATCCACTCTTATTTTAAACAGTTTACCAATCTACCACTTTACACTCACTTTTCCCTCCTACAGAAAGTAAAAACAAAACCTTTGTAAAACAGACAGCACTCTTTATAACCTTTTCTTAGCCAACTGCATTCCACTACTGTCATGTTACTGAAAACTGCTTTCCTCAAAGACCCTAATAAGCTATCTCCTCACCTTTCCTCTATGTCATATGAAAACTGTTAACTACTCCCTGCCTTTTTGCTACGCTTCCCCCTTTCTTAGCTCTCATAGTACTTAAGTGATTTTTCTCCTGGTAAGTCTGAAAGATTTGAGTTAAAATAACTTATCCATGTCACTTTAAACAAATTAATCTTATCTGAATCAGTTTCATTTTCAAACCCATTAAAAAAAGTGTGTATATCTACTTTTTTTTTAACCAAAAAGGATTTAACAATGTACAAAGACATGTAGTCGTCCTTCAATATCTGTGGCAGACTGACTGGCAGCAGGACACTTCAGATACCAAAATCTGTGGATACTCAATTTCCATATATAAAATCATGTATATGTGCATATAACCTATGTATACCTTCCCACATACTTTAAATCATCTCTAGATTATTTATAATAGTTAATACAATGTAAGTGCTATCAAAATAGCTGTAAATACTATGTAAATAGTTGGCCAGCATAAGGCAAATTCAAATTCGCTTTTTGGAACCTTCTGGAAATTTTTTTCTCCAGAATATTTTTGCTACAAGGTTGGCTGAATCTGTGGCTATGGAGGGCCAACTGTAGAGCATAAAACACTTTGAAAAAAAAAATAAATTGAATGACAAAAAAGGAAAGTTGGAACTAGGCTAAGTTAATAGAACACAACTGCATGTTGCTGAGCTGTATGTGTGTATATATACATTCTGGGTGAGCATGCAATGGGATCAAATTTAGGTTCAAATTCAAGCATTCAAACAGCAAATATTAACAGGGAAACATGAGCTATTACTAGAGAGTCTCTAATTGCTCCTGAGATGCATATTAGTGATGCTATACTTAGTGAGAAGATACTACATAATTTAAGAAACAGCATTACTGACATCACCAACACCTAAAAGTAAACATAGTAATGAGTTAGTTTCATATGCGATTTCTTATGATCCTATTTAGACTGATGACATTATGCTAAAGAGGAAGAACTGGATAACATGTGCCTAACCACAATGAATGATACTGTAGGATAAGGACAATAAAATTAGGCAAGGAGTAGAGTCTACCAGAGTAGGCCTTAAGTGTATTTGAGGAGTGACTGAAGTAATTATTACTAATGTAATTTTACATGGCAGTTGGTAAAAACGTCTTCAGAAGTAGAAGATTAACTAGCACCAACTTCAGAAGAAACATTAACAGTAATGTGTGCATTTAAAATTATAAGACCCAAATGAGAACACTCTGATGTGCATCCGTTTGAAATCTCTCTCCAATATGGCCAATGTTTGCCACTCTCTCCTTACTTATGTTGTCAGTACATTTCTGGAATATTCCTGGATTCTAACTGATAATATTTGTTCTGCCGACTCATTGGCAAATGCATGTCCTTAAAAATCAGAGATGAGAAGGCTTCCCTGGTGGATCAGTGGTAAAGAATCCGCCTGCCATTGCAGGAAACGGGGGTTCGATTCCTAATCCGGGAAGATCCCATATGGTGCAAAGCAACTAAGCCCGCCTGAACGCCGCAGCTGCTGAGCATGTGCGCCAGAGCCCAGGAGCCGCAACTACTGAGCCCGCAGGACGCAGAGCCTGTGATCCTCAATCAGAGGAGCTACTGCAATGAGAAGCCTGGGTATCGCAGCTAGACAGTAAGCCCGCTCTCCACAACTAGGGAGAAGCCCATGCAGCAACGAAGATGCGCTACAGCCAAAAATAAATAAAATTTTAAAAAATAAGAGATGAAATTAATCTTATCAACACATGTAAATAATTTTAAAAATCACATGTACCAAAGGCTTATATCCAAAACCAAGAACTTTTAACTCTTTCTTCTTGAATTTATTTACGGTTTTCTAAATGAGCATATAGCTATTTCTTTACTTATCAAGTTCAGACATTAAGTATTGGCCTCTCTAAATATAACCATATATATAAAGGGCATGTGCATTTTGTTTAATCCATTTTTAGTTCTCCTCTGTCATGACAATACTGTATAAATATTGTTCACTAATGAGTCAAACAGCACACAATTCCTTTCTTGCAAAAATCTGTATAATCACTTCATTTTCTCTGAATTTTATGAATACATTTACCCACATTCTCTAACAGCTCAAACTATAAAACACTCTTCAATAGATAATTTCCCACAATAATGACAATAAAGTCAAACTCAAACATGTTAGACAATTTATTGGTTTTACTTTTTTTCCTAAAGATTTCACTCTAAGAGGACAGTGTCTTCTGGACTATTTTACAGACTTGCCAGACATAGTATTCTGAGACTTCTGACTGTTATTTGGGAATTTCTTTTGGCACTCTCCTGTCCTGAATTTCCTATCTCTTACTGAGATTCCCAGTCTTTATTATTTCCTTATGTGATAGAAAAACCGAACATGGCAATGGACTAGTTCAAAATTGGGAAAGGAGTAGGTCAAGGCTATATATTGTCACCCTGCTTATTTAACTTATAAGCAGAGTACATCATGTGAAATGCCAGGCTAGATGAAGCACAAGCTGTAATCAAGATTGTCGAGAGAAACATCAACAACCTCAGATATGTAGATGACACCACTCTTAAGACAGAAAGCAAAGAGGAACTAAAGAGCCTCTTGATGAAGGAGAAAGAGGAAAGTGAAAAAGCTGGCTTAAAACTCAACATTCAAAAACTAAGATCATGTCAACAGGTCCTATCACTTCATGGCAAAGAGATGGGGAAACAATGAGAGACTTTATTTTCTTGGGCTCCAAACAAAATCTCTGCAAGATGGTGACTGCAGCCATGAAATATAAAAGATGTCTGCTCCTTGGAAGAAAAGCTATGACAAACCTAGATAGTATATTAAAAAGCAGAGACATTACTTCACCGACCAAAGTTTGACTAGTCAAAGATATGGTTCTTCAAGTAGTCATGTATGGATGTCAGAGTTGGACCATAAAGAAGGCTGAGTGCCAGAAAATTTATGCTTTTGAACTGTGATGTTGGAGAAGACTCTTAAGAGTCCTTTGGACTACAAGGAGATCAAACCAGTCAATTCTAAAGGAAATAAACACTGAATATTCATTGGAAGGACTGGTACTGAGGCTGAAGCTCCAGTATCTTGGCCACCTGATGCAAAGAGCTGACTCACTGGAAAAGACCCTGATGGCGGGGAAAGATTGAATTCAGGACAAAGGGGACAACAAGGATGAGATGGTTGGATGGCATCACCGATTCAATGGACATGAGTTTAAGCAAGCTCCAAGGAGGTGGTGAAGGACAGGGAAACCTGGCATGCTGCAGTCCATGGGGTCACAAAGAGTAAGACACAACTGAGCGACTGAATAATAAAATTTGATGGAACACATCTTTCAACGCTTTCAGAGAAATGGTACATGGGATGTAAATTTTTTTCTACAGCTTCCATGTCCTTATTTAATGACTGCATTTCCATAATTTTTCTTTTTACAGCACACATGTATACCCACTCCAGTGCTCTTGGGCTTCCCTTGCGGCTCAGCTGCTAAAGAACCTGCCTGCAATGCAGGAAACCTGGGTCGATCATGGGGTTGGGAAGATCCCCTGGAGAAGGGAAAGGCTACCCACTCCAGTATTCTGGCCTGGAGAATTCCAATTCCAAGTCAATGAGGTTGCAAAGAGTCAGACACAACTGAATGACTTTCACTATAGCACACTATAGCACACATGTAAATTTCTGTATTTACCAAGACCAAACAATAAACAAGTCACCACACTAATGCCTTCCAGTGGTACTGGAGGAGGAATGAAATGCTGTATCAACTGAGGTGCTTTCTCAAAGCAAAATATAGCATAAAGGCATCATATGCTACTCCAGAGTGGTCCTTTTAGAAATGCTTAAATACTCTAGTAAATAGCATAACCATCTGTACATAAATTAAAGTACCTTAAATGCCTGGAGACCTTTAAGGTTTTTTTAAAGTTTTTTTTGAGTCTTGGTTACAATATTAGTTTTAACAGAGGTAACCAATAAAAGAAAAATGTCAGTTTAGTTTTAGTCCCAGTCCAATTAAACATTTTCAATGAAAGACTTCTTCTGTTTCAAGTTCAAATTCTGTCATTAATTCTTTTGGATAAAATTTATTTCAGTACAGGTACTAACAAAAGGAATAGCTATAAACAATCTTATATATAATTATAAAATATGAGAAAAAATGTTTGAATTTCAGCATCACCTAGTTTAAAAGTATTAACATTCTTTAAAACAGACAAGCAAACAAAAAAATACCCCAAATTCCTGATACAATATCTTACTTTCCTATTGACACTGCCACAAATGGCAATATTTATCTGATTATCTAAATTATGAAAAATATAAATCACTTATTAGATAAAACAAGAATTACAACTTCTAAATAAATAACACACCTATATTCCACCGCCTATATTTTGCGTCGTCAAATTGTTGTCTCAAGACCAGGAAATCTATAACATCAGGCATATCATGATACCTATTAAAACAGAAACAAATTGATCAGGTCACATAGCTACAGATATCTAAAATACATTCAAATGTACCCAAATCTTGAAAGACAATCTACAATACTAAGAAACTACTGCCTCTTTCAACAGTCCTTACTTCATTGTAAATGATCCACCGGTCAGTTTACCAGTATCAGGATCTAGAAAAGCAAGTTTAAGGCAGCAAAGTGTAGGCAATCCCACTTCATACTTTATGCCAACTATTTTCATCAGTTCTTGTTCCTGAAGAAGATATAGAAAATTTAGAAACCATATTCACAAAATAAACTGTTAAACACTAGGTGACTATTTTGTATGTAGGTAGGTATAAAAACCCACTGAGCTGTGTACTTAAGATTGGTGCACTCTGATAGTATGCAAGCTATATATGAATTTTAAAAAAAGAAAGAAAACCTTACTGAAATAAGAATTTTCTAATACAGTTACAAAGACTGAGAAATAATTTTAAACTATTGCTGATAAATCTACTTTCAAATTTACAAAGATGAAGTTTGCCTTAATATGTTAATGTCCAGTTCTCACCATAATTACATTTTACTCTCAACTTAAATTATTAGAATATATATAATTCAATCATAAGTTTCTTTAAAAATCTATGCCTATGAATTGTTTCAATTAAAAGAAAAAGGTATCTTCATGATACAGTTTCTTATAGTGAAAAAAAATAACATTCAATACAATTTTCTCTATAATCACATCTTTTGGGGCTTTAAATTATAAACACCATACCCGCAGTTCCATTTTATGCCATGGTTGTTTTTTGGGATTTATACTATAAATTTTATTTTTCCGGGCCATCTCAACATATGCTTCATGTCCTTGTCGGAAATAATAAACCTAAAAAGTAAATAAAGTCACAATTTTAAAACTTGAATGTGTTTCCTTTAACCCAAGATGCACAGTATCAGCTAAAACTGTAGAGAATTTAATGTCCTGTAAACGAAAAGAAAGTCTAATATTTTGATTTTATCCTTCCTCCTCTTCCTTGAGCTGTCCTACTTAATAATAACCAAAATGTTCTAAATAACATTAAAAGGTTAAGGATAAGCAGTTATTTTTTGGCGTTTTGGTCTCATCACTTTATTTTACATTGTAAAGTATGTTGCAACTTGGGGTCATGTTTAGCTTATTGTTTACCTACTTTTGTAGCAAGCAGGTTGTACAAAGGCAGGGAACTTTAAAATGAAAAATCTATTTTCAAATATATTTTCATATATATTTTATCCTTATGAAGAGAGCAAGGCATATATTTACTCTCATTTATGAAGGTCAAATATAAGTGACTCCTGACTACCACTAGAACTGGTATGTGAATATAGCACTCTGATACCAAGTGTTCTTCCCACAACTAAAATAGCTGGGCTTGTTAAAAAATGCTATCCAAGTTTATCCTAACTTTTAAACTGTGAACCTATTGAATACCAGATAATCCTGCCTCTAACATTTATAGAAAAAACAAGGAGACGTACTCCTGAGTGGAAAAGATTTTCATTTCAAATTCACAAAAACATAGTCCAAAATGAAGACTAATCATATTTTCTTAAAAAATTAAATAATTGGAAGATAACATTTTTTAAAGATCTAAGAAACATACTATGAACATTATAGTTACTTAAACATTGATAAAATACTTCTATGAAATAAAAATAAAACACAAAATTATCCTTCAATTAAAAATAAACAAATGCTGAATTTTGCTTTTCCTTTACCATGTATTTTATTTTAGGAAAAAGAAAACTTGGCCACAACATCCTCTTATTAAAAAATACATACCAGTTTTTAAAATGCCAATAAGCCTCTATCCTCTTACAATATTTAATTTGCTATTGCCATTTTTATAGTAGCCATAAAAACATTACCATTAAAGCTTTCCTCTTAATTTTCCTTTTTTCCATAGAGTTACAAAATGTAAACAGATAATTCATAAAACTGCTACAATTCTCTAGAAATCTGTTTCAAGAGCTCTAAAAAGTATTTAAAGTTATTTGAATGAAACAAAGGATATTTTTTAGAAGTTAAAAAATACCTCATCACCCATCTGTGGCACAAATGGACATCTTCGGGGAAGAGTGTCTGTAATCCATGTTGAAGGTAACCATTCTTCCAACGTCAAGCCGTTCTCCGTCAGTTCTCCCACAGCCAATCTCTAAAAGTGTAAAACAATATCAAATAATGTTATCATGAAAGCACTCATCTATCAATCTGCCCAGATAGTTAAAAACACAAAAGGGGGAAGGGATCTTTGTACAAAAATGTGTGTTCTTTAAGTACTAAAAAACCTTATTCTGGGAAGATGGCAGTAGTGGCAAAGTAGTTACATTCAATCTCACCAACTCACTCCATGAAAAAGTACTACATCAACCAAAGCTCCTCAGACAATATTCAAAACAAAAATAGGTGATGAGATATTCCCATAAACAAAACAGAAGCTCTGTGTAGTTGCTTTTCCTCTAAACATTCTGTTTCATAAACATACCATGTAACAAATCAATACATATTCAAGGTTTTTCTTTAAAAAAAAAAACCCTAGTCATAGCATGTTGCTAAGAAGTAAGAAAGATATTCTTATATGGGCTGAGCAGTGCCAGGATACAGAAGGCTAACTTTTATGGGCTGGACATTATACTTGCATATAGCCCAAGAATATTCCCTAGCCCTGTTAAAAGTAGCCATTTCATAGGTAAGCTTCTAAAAAAATCTTTTTTTTTCCAAACAGAATGCTCTCAAGCCAGGTCTCTTACTTCTTAACTTTCCCAATAGGCCTTTAAGAAAAGTTTAAATTTTCTGGTCACCTACAAGTGGCCATGATAGGCTGGAAACTGTTACCTTAGACTTGGAAAAACAGATTTTCTAAGAGCTGAAACCTAACATATTTAAGTAGAGAAACATCATGCCACTGATAAAAAATGTTTTGGTTCAGTGTTTGTAAACTAAGACTTCCGAATTTTATTCTCTTGTGTTTACTAAAGAAAAGGGAAGTTATAAGGTAGTTATCACTGTGACTTAATGAAAGTTCATAAAAAGAAACATGGTCACAATGGGGTATCAGAGAGTACTGCTTGCAGCATGTTCCTTTAGCTGTTACTCAGTATCCATTTTCCTAGGAACTCTTCTTCCTATTAACCACCTTTGTGTTTCTCTGTTAAAACACATTAGGAGCAGTCTGTGGTGAAGAACAGAGGGATAAAGGACTCTGGCATTTACTATCCATTAGATGAATCCATCCCATGTACTGATATCCACAGATGTATCAGTCATATATAATGAGGTGTTCAGTTAAAGTATTTGAAAAAGGCTTCCTTTGACCTAGGTAAAATGAAAAAGGCAGGAAAAGGCTAAAAATTACTAACTCCAGCCTCAATATAAACTACTAGCTATACTACTCAAGTATTTCTTTCCAGAGTAGGACAGCTAACAGCTCTTACATGAAGCCAGGTAAACTGGATATTAAATAGATGTAACCATATTTATAACTGTAGGACTATGGCATAGCCAAGAATCATTATGATAATAAATCTTATTCAATTCTTGGGGATTCTTAAAGTTTTGGTTAGATTTCTGTCAGTACTAATAGTCATTTATGGGATAAAACACATTGATAGTTGTCTGAATTTCCAGCCTCATAAAATGAGATTTAATTTTGTAGATAAAGGTAATTAATCTATTTTCTTTCTATCCATGGCAACTCCTTTAGGCCCACCTAAAATCTGATTTCTTCTGGAAGGCTTATCTGAAACTCTAAGATGTCTCCCTTTGGTTTCTGAGTTATTATCTATAAAATTACTTTGCCAATTAAATGCATTATATCATATGATATTTCTCCTATTTTGGGGGGAGGGGATTCAAAAAACAGTGGTCACACATTGTTTTTGGAGTAAGTACTATGTCTTACACTTCTTTTTATTGACTGTACTGCAGGCAATAGATGAAAACTCATTGCTCTGATTTCCAGAGCTCCCAAACAACATAAGGGATATATGTCAGATACTATCTGGGATAACTGTACTGTATCTCAGGAGAATTCTATTTTAATAAGCATGTGCCTAACAAGGTTTTTTTTTTGATTCAAACAATTAACCATATGGAAGATATTTTATTTTTTCATAGATGCAATAAACATCAACTAATGATGTCTCAGTTATTTTTCAGCTTTACAACTCTATGCAGAAGAAAGGAAATGTTACTGTGTTTACCTGAGGTAAGATGACTAAGGAATAAGAGCAATTCTGTCTGTTGTCAGATTCAGTGATAGGCTGAAAACAAGCCATGTAAACAAAAGCCAAATTACAGGCAGTGACCTGTAATACCCTAACCTTAAGCTATTTAAAACATGTACCAAACCAATTAGTGGCAAACAGACCCTGGGGTTAATACTTTAAGCAAAAGAGTGAATATGCTAAATAGTAACAATGGATCCAAATGTGGCATGTAAGAAGAAGCCTGACGTATTAGTTTATGGATAATTATCAAATAAAAGGGGACCAAGTGAAGTAAACTGCATTCTTACGACAAAAGAATTATGGGATGTAACACTGCAAACCTTCAAAAGTTTCCAACACTGTCTTGAGATGGAAAAAAAAAATGCTTACTTCATTTGCCAGATATATGGCTAAATCAGCTTTTCTGTCTATCATGTAAAATAATGGGTCAGCCAACATTTACCATCACAGACAAGGAAAAGGAGGAATACTGTGGTAAAGTGTGGCATTCTTGCTGGTAAATAGTCCCCAGACAAAGGCAGAGTAATCCATAATCACACAGCCGAAGCAAACAAAGCTCAACTGATGCAGATAAAATAAACATTTAAGACAGAGTAGTCTTGAAATTTTTCAAAGCTCTCTAAAGATAAACATCCTATAGTCTCCCTAGTATTTAATTCTACAGATAACATCTTCCATTTAACTCTAAAAATGGCAGCAGTTTTAAAAAAACCTTCCGTTTGTTTCACCAAATGTGCTTCCAACTTACAGTCTTTTAGGGAATAGACAATATATCCTTGTATTTCATCTCCTTTAGAGCAAAAGTTAAACAGTTCTTGTTTTTAAAATATTCCAACCCCATAAGAACTAACAGATCTTATTCCCATAACATTTATCCCTTTTCTTTGATCTGTCTCAAATTATCCACAGACTAAAGATATACTTATCAAACCAATACTACCGCCCTAAGGACTAGTGATGGCTCACAGGCTCTGCAAATTAATGAAGGTTTGTTACCACAGTAGTATTTTCAGCAGTGATAGTTTGTAAGGATGGTTCAAAGATAAAGGCAATTAAAGGCTAATAAAATATGTTTTGTAGCATTACTTATTTTATATAAAAAAACAAATTTTCCTGGAGTATCAAGAAAACTCTGCTCATAAGATCAAATGCTCAATATTATAACAACATGATAATTCTACAAGTAAATACTCTCACACTTTAAACATTTTAAAAATTGAGGAAAACTAAACAGATCTCTATATGCTTTATTTCACTACTGTGTAACTCCATGTTTTTTCTATTACTATTTAACTGGTATACCTGAACAATCTTTATGTTTATCCACTGCACTTTTAAAATGTGTAGTTTGTTTTCACAGAAAACATATATATATGAAATATGTATAATATCTATATATATAATACATATTTAAGTATATAACTCAACCTTTTGTTTTCTTTCTTTGGGCTTCTTTTTCTTTGGTGATACTGGTCCATCCTTTTCTTCATTTACTTTTTTCCTTTCCTTTTTAATCTGTTTTTGCTTCTGTTTTTCAGATTCTTCTTCTTCATCTGAACTGCTTTCTGCTTTCTTGGTTTTATGCTTAGGAATTTTCTTTGGTGGTTGCAAATTAATTCCGGCATCTGCTGTCCAGTCAGAATAATCACTGGAGTAGTCACTAAAAGGAAAGAGGGATTTAAAAACTATACAGAAAAAGATATACTTTAAGACTTTGCTGTATGCACATGTAAAGAACGATCATAATAAAAAGTAATGGGCTTCCCTGGTGGCTCAGATGGTAAAGAATTTGCCTGCAATGCAGGAGACCTGGATTAGATCCCTGGGTTGGGAAGATCCCCTGGAGGAGGAAATGACAACCCACTCCAGTATTCTTGCCTGGAGAATTCCTGGACAGAGGAGCCTGGCGAACTACTGTCCATGGGGTCGCAAAGAGTCAGACACGACTGAGTGACTAACTGACAGTGACAGAATAGTACATACTAAATGATATAAAAATACTTCCTAGCTTTAAACTCATCTTCTAAATAGTTTCTTAGAAGCCTGCAGGCTTAACTTACTTAAATATCTCCAAAATTTTTTAGGATAAATGAGGCCTAATTAAAGTAGTTCTGATTAAACAATGAATTTAAATACCATTTATAATTTTAACAAAAATACAGATTTGAGTGTTAAACCTGTGTTCAAAATATTGTGGGGTCACAAAGGTAAGGAGAGGTGGTCAACCTCCTCAATTCTAGTAACAACAGAGCGCTCCAGATAGCACAGGAGGCATCGACGGTGAGAAGCAGCTTAAGGACTCCCTTGCTGAGGGTGGGTGGGCACTCCTGACATTCGAACTCCCATGAGAGCACCAGTGGTGTCACAGTAGCTAGGCATCGACCTGGCAGGGTCAGAAGTATTCTATCCAGTGGGAAGATCGTGCCTGCAAACTTTACTAAGCATCTACATACACTCGAGGTGTATATTATGCTTCAAAGCATAGTAAGATTCAGAAAAACGTAGGCCTTAGTATCTTATGTATCACTATCAATCATGTTTGCCATTGGTTGTATCTCACTGGAAACTAACAGATCTAAGCTTTACTAAACTGACGCTGCAAAATAAAGAATCCAATTAAGTTGTCTTCTGTTTTAATTTTAGAACATGAGAATATTTAATTACTTGACTTTTTAATTTTATAAATATAATTGCCTTAATGCAATCTAAACTGTACTATGTTAAAATCAATTATCAGGTTGCCTAGACTTACTGATGTATAGTCTCACTTCTCTAAAAATATTGCTGACAAGAATGAAGTCATATTTTTCTGGAGTTTTATTCTACTACCTCGTCCCTCTGGCTCAAGTGTGTTTTTTTATGGGCAATGTATCTGTTATCACCCTAAGAATAATCATTGCAGATAAAAGTCAAATAATTAAGGTGCTTTCTAGTATGATTTGCATGACTTCATCTTAAAAGTTAAAATTTCAAAGTTACATAAAAAACATTTTCAGAAACTATTCTGGATATTTGGGAATATATCTGCAGGGCAAACAGCTATCCAACTGGCCATACTGAACTTAGGAGCCTTTATTTATACTGACCTCAGCCATGATCACTGTAAATGGCATTTGCCAAACTGCTCACTGTTGCTATTCTATGGAACACTGAGCTCTTACAGAAAATCTGCTGCCGCCAGCACAGAACTACAAATCCCAGAGGCCCATGTTCTTTACAATAGTTTCTCCAACAGCTGAAGTGAACACTGTTTTTTCATTTATTTATTTATTTATTTATTTATTTATTTTTTTGGTCCCCCCTCCCACCTCCCTCTCCACCCAATCCCTCTGGGTCTTCCCAGTGCACCAGGCCCGAGCACTTGTCTCATGCACCCAACCTGGGCTGGTGAACTGGTTCACCCTAGATAATATACGTGTTTCAAAGCTGTTCTCTTGAAACATCCCACCCTCGCCTTCTCCCAGAGTCCACAAGTCTGTTCTATACATAGGAGTCTCTTTTTCTGTTTTGCACATAGGGTTATCGTTACCATCTTTCTAAATTCCATATATATGGAACACTGTTTTTTCAAAACAAGAATCTCTATGCTGTTGAATGGTATGAGATACAAACATAACTTATTTTATTGTGCTTTGCAGATACTGTGGTTTTTCTTCTTTCTTTTCTTCTTTACAAATTCAAGGTTTGTGGCAACCAGGCATCAAGCAAGTCTATTGGTGCCACTTTCCCAATAGCATTATTTTTAAATTAATGACGTTTTTAAATGTTGAACTTTTTTTCAGAGATAATGCTACTGCACACCTCACTGTACAGTGAAAATGTAATTTTTACACGCACTAAAAACAAAAACTCATTTGACTTGCTTTACTGCAATATACATTTTGGTGGTGGTCTGGAGTAAAACCTGAAGTATTCCAAGGTGTAACTATACTCTATTTCCACTGCTAAACCAAAAGAAAGTGGGTTTTTCTTCTGCTGTCTTATTTTAAATATAGGACACTAGCAGATATAATGATGAACACTTGCATATCATTACTGGGAGCAACTACTGTGGAAACAGGAATGTCCGTGATAATAAGAGGTGAAGAATTTTTACACACAGCTTCCTGGTTTCTTTGGAATTTTAAGAACTAACGCTGTCAAGGAATAAGTATCAAGGGCTAAACATAATTACCATTCCCAAAGGCTCTACTCCTTCTTGCTACTAAGACCTCACAATGTCAGACAAGGCCATTAAGCTCTGTAACAATATGAATCACCAGTTAATGAGGCTGAAGGAATCCTTGCTTACATGATCAAATGGGGTGGGAAAAACAGGAAAAAGGGAAAGCTTATTCTCATTGCCAGAAGAAAATACTAGTAACATTTAACAAATTCCACTATAAAAGATAGTTAATTCTACAAAATCTCATTACTTTCATAATTTAATGCTTAAGTATTTCTCAAAACCAGTAATGAAACGAGTTTGTGGTTCAGAATTACAAATAATAACAGCATTCAGAAGATAAAATATCAACTGAGGAAAAAAGTTAAAAGCATCATTTTGTAGATCTAGTTACAATTTTAAACCCAAAGGGACTCTGAACTATGTTTCTGGTAGAAAAGAATCTTTACCTTTCTAAAGAATTTATATTATTTGTGGGGAAAAAACAATCCATTCAATTACCTAGAACTGCCATCACTGTGCCAAGCTCTCTCTTCTTCTTCAGATGTTCCACCACTGACAGCAACAACCTCACCTTCCTAAGAGATAGTGAATACACATTTCATTGTGCAGTTTTACAGAATAACATTCTATATGATTATAGTAATAGAAAATACCAGTGGTATCTAGTAGTATGAATCATATTAGGATATCTTATTAAAATCTGATTTAAATTAGTTGTAAAATACAAGTCTCCTATTTTTATACAAAAGTATACAAAGATAAATACTTATTAATAATGTTTCAGGGCAATCTCTTGGATGGATTTGAGACGTTTTAAAGCCTCAAAACACAACTTCTAGATTGGGTAATACCAAACTTAAATTTAGAAACTTTTAGGTTTTATTTATTAAAATTATTATTAAAATAGCTTTATCATGTAAAAAAACATATTCCAATTCAAGTATTATTTTCTACACATAAGGAATATTAAAAACTACCCAGACACTCTGTTTCTCCTTAGCAAATATTCACTGGTCAACACAGGCTACTACCTGTGAAGCCATTTTCTTTATAAAAATTGTTTTGTGGTCACAAGATCTTGCTTCAATAAAAATAGCAATTTATATTAATTAAGATTTTACTATAGGTCAGAAACTGTTCTAAGCACTCTAAATCATCCCATTTAATCTAGACAAAACAATGACTGGTGAGAGGAAACAGATTTTCCCCCCCAGTTATAAGTGATTTCTGAAATATATTTCATTATTTTATTCTATTTACACTATCCTACCATTTAAAAAAATTATCTCATTATTTTAACATATTGAAATCTGTGGTTCTCTTTTAACCAGCAAGTATAATACTGATTCCAGGGAAATAGGTTTTTAAAGAAAAGAAACTAAAACTTCAACAGGCTAAGAAATTTATCCAAGACAGCACAATTAATAAGCAACAAAGCCTATTTTGAACTCAGGTCATTTTACTTCAAAGCTTAAACCCCCTCTAACAAGAACGGTTCAGTGTTATTAATTGCTGGACGTATTCAGATAATTTTTCATGAGGATAATGAAACATATTCTTTTACTAATCAAATATTACATTTTGGGGAGAAAAATTTTCCCATTATCATGTCTTAAAAATGAAGAATGTAATTGCGTAACTTCCACAGAGCTTTGAAAATCAAGCAAATATGTAAAGATCAAAATCTAACAGCAAATTTTATTCAGCAAACAATCTCTGCTCACTAACTAAAAAGAAATTAAACAAATTATCTGATTATTCCCACCTTTAGTATATTACTTCTTTAAAGAGGGAGGACAGAAACATACTTCTATATTCTAAATACAAAAAGGTACTATAGGTAATTACAAAATATTTGAATCAAAACCTCAAAATTGTTTCATTTTTAAATGATATATTGTGCCAGAGGTGATATTCTGTTCTCACTGTTCTCCTCTACAAACTTAAGGTATAAACAAATTAGTTTTGAAGACAAATGAAAGAATTTGTAATTTTCTTATGTAACAGTTGTACCTGGAAATAGTTTTAGTTGATTTAGTTTTAGTTGATTTGTATTTTAAAAATTTTATAGAAACTTTTATTTAAGAGAATACTGTTAATCTTTCAAGAATAAAGAAACACTTTATAATGCAAACAACTAGCACACACAGACTTTATGTTTTGTGGTATATCTAAGTTGTTGAATGTCAAGTTTATATAAAGAGCATGTTTTCTCTTTTTGCCAGATTAAACATATCATTTTGTTCTGGCTATGGACATGAGTTTGAGTAGACTCTCGGAGTTGGTGACGGACAGGGAGGCCTGGCGTGCTCCAATTCATGGGGTCGCAAAGAGTCGGACTCGACTGAGTGACTGAACTGAAACTAGGACCTAAAGCCAGCAGAGACTTTTAAATTATGGTTAGAATAACTCTCAGTTTCAGCTAATATAACCCTGTCCATAGACAATATATGTGGAGAATCCCCACGCATGCCTGCCACTGCAAAACATAAGATGACTTCAAAAATGTACAGATGTCAACACTTCACATCAGTCGCTGACTTAACTGTGAGTGAAGGGTAATAAGCAGAGCGGGGCAGGAGAAGAAAGACAGTTGTACGTGTAAGCAAGCTTGATTTGTAAAGGCAAATGAACTGCCTTTGCTGAAAGAATATATAGTTTTGTGGGGACAATGATATTTATGAAAATACATATACATAAGGAGTATTTTAAAATTTACATTGAGAAAGCTATAAACTGGTACAGAGATTATAAAGTAACCAAAACTGTTGACTGTCTATTCATCAGTTGTATTATACAGACTAGAGCTTTATGGTATTAAAAAGCTTGGTTTTGGAGTAAAAGGAACATGGGTTTAATTCCTTACTCTACCATTTAATAGTTAAGTAAATGTGTAATCTAAACATCTTTGAACTTCAGAGTCCTCATAATGGATGCACTTGTTTTGTGGACCTGAGGTTTTCAACGCCATGCCTTGAACACACACTATGGTCTTCAGCTATCACTGTCATTTTAAGACCTAGACATACCATGTTTGAGCTACATCTATAAATATATCAATGGATGCAAAGAATACAGGTTATATTTAAAACAAGTCAAAATGAAAACAAATTTATGAACGTGTTGAGCTCTCACATCTGAAGAACTTGTGCCATTTTCTATTTCTTCTGAAGGTCTAGGAGTCTCCTCTAATGCAGATCTCGTGCGGTAATTGTGTTGATTTGCCTGCTGCTTTTTGGATTCTCCAAGATCCAGGAAATGTTCATGAGCATGATTCTGGAAAAAAGTAAATTCAATTTATTTACAGTATGCTTAAAGAAAATGCTTTTTAAAAGTTACATTTTTTTTCTCAGTCATGTTTAAGATTCTCACATAAGTAGACTATAATACCAGCTCAAGTATTTTAACATTAAGCTAAAACACAGGTTAGTGATAGGTTGAAATTCACTTGCTGATTGATAGGTTATAAAAACCTTTTTTTGATTAAGGATTCATAAAAATAGACTAAGTGTAATATTGAACTCTTGTATCCACATCAAAGCTGTAAAATAGATAAAGCAAAGAGGACCTCAGACTGTGAGGCATAAGTGATAGGCAGAGGCAAACTAGGAAACAAAACAAGAGATTACAAAGCTAACTGGTCACTATGAGGCTTGGATACCAAGGTAACTGGCTCGCTCTCTCCTGCTGCAGGCAAATGTGGGAAGCAAATGTGGGGAAAGTCTTCTGCAGCAGAGACAACAACTAAGAATAATCAAAATAAATGAAAGTCCAACACAGTTACAGACATGAAAAAACTCAAGAATTTACACCTGAAAAAGAAACCCAATTAAAGAACATAAAAAATAAATGGAAAATACTAAAAATTACCTCCAAAAGACTGACGTCAGACTTATATATACATCATGCAATATATCATACAATAAAAAAGGAACATTATCTTCGAAGTGCTAACAGAAAATAGTTTTGAAACTCTTATTTATGTCCTCACTCCTTTGAACCTATAATTATATTCTCACTTTTTCCCCCCCTCGCTCTTCTCATTGTTTTATAAGGCTCTCAAAATTCTGTGACAGATTTCTGGTCAAGTTGTTTCCATTAAAAAGTACTGCTTTAAAAACTAGTAATTTAAAATTGCCACACAGTTGAAAAATAGATGGTCCACAAAACATTCTCCTTTCCTTCAAGGTTTTATTATCATTGCTATCATTAATTGGTCTTTGCTAAATGACTGATCAAGACAAAACAGTCCTGAGACAGTTCTTCCACCACTGATGAAGACTGGGGTGCCAGGTATTGGCGATGATCTTCAGTTAGCCTTCTGAGCTTTCTGGGCACACACTGTGACCTTGCCAGCTCTAGCTGCCTTCTTGTCCACTGCTTTGATGACACCATAGTAAATCTCTGTCTCATTCACAAATAGCAAAACAACCCAGAGGATAGTCAGAGGAGTTTTTAACACCCAGGTGGCTTGCCCGGAACCTTATCAAAAGTGGCAGGCAGCATCAACACTTCTCAAGAATTTGGGGCTATCTTTCAGAAGCTTCTTCCAAGAACAGTGACCATCATCATCTTCAAGTCAGCAATCCTCAAAGCTATGTTAGCTGTGGACAGTCCAGAACAGGTGCACAGCTGACTTGGCTTGGTTGGCTCAGGATTATCACTTCAGCTGCGAAGCTAGTTGCTTCCATCGATGGGTTATTTTTGCTCTCAGGAGCAACACCATGGCAAGCATCTCTGACAGACATGTTCTTGACACTTATGTCTACACTGTCCTCAGAAAAGCTTCACTCAAGGCTTTAAGTGCACTTCAACAGACCTTTTTTTTCACTTGAGTTGTAATGACAACTGGAGCAAAGGTGACCACATGCCACATTTGAGAACTCCAGTCTGTGACTTGCCCACAGGGACAGATCCAGTATTACGTGGAGGGGCAGGCACCAAGGGCTCGTCAGTCAGACAAGTTGGTGGCAGGATGCCATCAGAGCTTTCAGCTTCATTGTTCCATTGCTATCACCATCATTACAGGTGACTTTCCAACCCTTGAACCAAGACACGTTATTAGCACTTGGCTCCAGCACGTTGTCTCCATTCCAATAAGAAATTGGCATAAACACTACTGTGTTGGGGTTGCAGACATTTTTCTTAATGTAAATCAATTCCTTAATATCTTCTTAACTCTTCTCGCTATAGGGCGCTCAGTGGAACCCATTTTAACAGCAAACAAAAACTAACATTAGTTAAGTTCATGGTTGTTTTAAGGTAATACTCCTGTTCTCTCCAGGAATTTTCAGGATATTTCCTTTTAGATGTTTTCAAATCTCACTATAATGTGCTTAACGAGGTTTTATCTCTCTAGATTTTACATTATGTTTTCTTTATTTTAGTTGGCATACTATGCATTCGCTCAGAAATTAATTCTAGAAAATTTTGGTTCATTATTTTTTTCAACTTTTTGCTCCCTCTGTATGTCATTCTCTTCTTCGAAGACTCTTACTAAATAAAGCTTTTTTACTACGTACTTCTAGTGTGTATGTATGTGTGTATACAACACACACATTTACAAAAAACATATACATGGTTCTCCCATTTCCCTCATTCTGTCCATTATTTTATCCCTTGTTGATACATTCTGGAAGAGTTCTTCATATTCCAGCTTACTAACTCATTTTTCAGTGTTTTATACTCTTCTATTAAACTCGTCCACTGAATTCTCCACTTCAACAGGTTTCATCCTAATTTCTCCAACAGAACACTCCCCAAAACAGCTTGTTGCTATATCATGCTTCCAATATCCTCTCTTCTTGCTCTCAGAATAATACGCTATTTTGAGTAGCTGAATATGATTGACTTTGGTTTCACAAGTGGGTTGGGTGCCACTTTTGAAGGGAAGGAAAAAGGAAAAAAAAAATCTAGGTCTTGCTCTCTCTTCTAAGAAAGCGTCTGTAAATATGCACGGGGGATGGGTGTGTACCTCAGGACTTGTGATACTGCAAACCCGAGTCCAAGCACCCCTGTCCCGCCACCCGCCCCCCTCTGCAGCTCCCCCCACAACCAGTCTCCTCACGTCTTTCCAGCACTGTAGCTCTACTCGTGCTGGGGCTGTTACTTGTAAAAGTCAAGTGAAATTAAACACACCTTCTCATACTAGCATTCAAAATTTACTCCACGAAGATTCTCTCTAAAAGAATTACTGAAGGATTCTGTAGTTCTGTGAAAATATGTAAAAGCTATAAAAAAAAAGGAAATGATGCTCAACTATATCTCATATACTTTGAGTAACTTATGGTTAAAAATATAATGGATCTTGCTTCTTTCATTTAACATAAATATTATTTACCTACTTAAAACTATTTCATTAAAAATGCTTTTTGTTTCATTTTGTAAAGCTTTAGCCACAATTCTTATTTCTTTAGGATAAATTCCAAGTCAAAGAACATGACTTATATCTAATGCAGAAGAAAAAGCCAGCTGTCAACCAACATCTGTTTCCTTCCTCTTGCACAGAAAATGAAATTTTCATTGTCAGATTTTCATGTGACTAAATTGTGGCCAATGGCTATCTGGTACAGTGCTGCAGAACAAGTTCAAAAAACCTTCATCAGGAAAGCACGTGCACCTTCTGCACCTTCCTTAATGAAATCACCTTCCCTCCTGAAGCCTTATATGAAAATGCTGCTATCTTGAGGCATGAGGTCAGAGGTCAAATTCACACACAAAGAAACATCAAAAAAATTTAAAGAGCTTCAGTTCCCAACACAGAGGGTATCACATCAGACCTTGACCACCCCAAGGCTTTTATGTCAGAAAGAAATACATTTCCCTAAAGGGAAATAAATATTTAAGAAAAATAAATTTAAGACATTCTCATTTGGGGACCAAACTTATTGTCAAAATCAACTTTCTAACTGTTTTCTAAACAGTTTTTCTGCATTAACTTGTACAACTCCCCTACACAGTCAGTACCCTATATTATTAGAGGAAAAAAATTAATACAACTCTGAGGTGTAAGGTAGCATCTCACAATTTGTACATCTGTGATTATCAATGTTATTAGTCTCGTGGTAAGTGCTTTCAATCCTTTCTCCATTCTCATAAAATTTGAAAAACCAAAATGAGGTCATGTTATAAATATTGTTACACTTGCTTTTTTTCACTAAACAAATACATCATGAGTATTTCTCCACAGCAATGGAGTGAACTCTAACTTCTTAAAAAAAAAAAAACTGTATAATATTCCATGTATATATGTCATGACATCCTACCTTTCTTCTACCAACAGACACTAAAGTTATTTCAGTGTTTGCCACCAGAGACAATATCTGCATGCACACAAACATACATACATTCACATCAATCCTTTCCTTTCTAAAAAAGTCTTTGAAGAACCACTATTAAAAGATAAGCACATCCTTTTAATTGTATAGATATTACCATATCCTATCCATAAAAGTGGTAGCAATAGCTCACAATCATTATACGAGTTCATGTCCACATCCTTGGAGTCAGAAGAAAGGAAACTAAAGATAGGTATGCTTTCCAGCCACCATGAAAACCACCACCATCACAACCAACAAAAAAACCTAAGAAAGGAAAAATTATTTCAAATTATACTAACAGAAATTCCAGCAGGGTGGGATCCTACTGTTGCCAAAGTAGGATACCCTTACCTACAGGGAAACATAAAGTGGCAAAGGACTACTTGAGTTCTGTGAAGGTTTATAAAACAGAGGAGAGAGTTATAATAAAGGAGACTACTTCAGAACATCTGAGAAGCTCAGATAAGAGGACAGAGTACAAAGCTGGGTCGAGACCAGTCATCCTTTGACACTCCAGCAGTTAAGTCCATCTCTCTCCCAGATTAGGGCATAACCAACTAAAATCCACTGGACTGAAAATTTTTTCCAGAGCAGGATGACAGAAAAACCAATAGGGCAAAATAGGAGGGACAATTTACCTCTCTTAATGGAGAAAATGAAAACTATTATTTATAGCAGCATAGTTAACTTGATTATCTGCAAATTGGTGCAAAACAGTAAAAGAAAAAAAAAAGACAAAAATTTAAACCAAAACACTGTTTTAGAGCATGCCACCAAAAGCAAAACTAAAAAAAGATCTTGCTTGGGGTTAAAGTATAAGGGTTGGATTTAACAGGCATATTACAATTGGAATTTGAGACAAACGTACACTAGAAAGTATGACATGTATGAAGATTCAAAGATAATCTAAAGATAACTGAGAATTAACTATGTTAACTTTATTTCATTAGTTAAATAGCCTGTCTATAATGTTCACAACTTTAATTGCAAAACAGCCTTTAACGGTCATTACATTAATGAAGCAAATGCTAAACATCAAAGTGATCACTCTTTACCTTTGAGACAGCAGGCATTTTATTCTCTTTTGGAACTGCCAAGTGTTTTCTTTTCTCTTCTGACCTGTACGTCTTTATTTCTTCTTCTCCCTTTGCAGTTCTCCATTCTTCTTGCCTACTGAAAGAGAATTCAAAACCACATATCCTAATCTAAAATTTCTGTAATCGATTTCTCCCCAAAGGAAATGTCAGGCATCAATGTTTTCTTTTCAGATGAGGCATGTGATAAAGATTTATGAGCTTCAATTCAGAGGCTGTGAGTTCTAGACATTTAGTATTAAATGACTGGATGTCTTTTCAGTAGGAAAGACAGACTGTCTACTTGAACTTGATACTACCATTTCTGCTATGGTCTTTGGCAAATAGTTTTAGGATCTAGGAACATTGTCAAACATTAAAAACAGAATTTAATGGTAACAGTGTTGGGTTTATGCTGTGATAATCTTAGTGTGCCACAGAGATAGTTGGAATCTTCAAACAAACAAATGGAGGGAGATCTACTACTAACTCCCAATGCCCTGAAAGAACTGCATACTATCCAGTGAAAGCAAGGTCAGGCCTCAGTCATGGAAAAAACTTCAACTCTATCCAGGTGTCAAGCTGAATCTGAGGAACAGAAGTTTTGGGGAACATTAACTGTGAAGTTTAATTTCATAGAACCTGAACTCACAAGGACAAGAGAATTGTTTTAGAATTTTAATTCCTTAAAACTTCAAAGTTTCTGAACTGCAAGGGTATTTAATCCCTGAATTTTAATTTCTCTCTGGAGTTAACACAGTTGGAAGGAAGTTAATATTCAAACTTGGGAGTGCCCTATGATGTTGATATTTTATTACTAAGGTGCATTAATGCTGTTATTTTATACTTAACTGCAGAACCTCTAATGCAGTTGGTTGGAATTCTGAATGGAAATGAATGAACTTAAATCTTGTGAAAAGAAAAGCCTTGGATTTAATTTTTTTTAATTAAACTTTTTATTGAGATAATTATAGATTTACACACAGTTCTAAGAATACTACAGAGAGGTTCCTTATATCCTCTACCCAGTGCCCTCCAAAGATGGTATCTTCTAAAATTATAGTACAAAATTATAACCTGGATCTGGATGTTGAATACAACCCACTGATATTCAGAATAACCCAGTTTTATTCTACTCATGTGTGTATGTGTGTATTTAGTTCTATCCAAGTTTATCACACGTATAGGTTTCTATATCCATTGCCCCAGTCAAGATACAGAACATTTTCATTACCACAAAGATCTCTTGTGTGCCCTGTTAATCATCACATCCACCTTCTTCTTCTCTCCTCAGCCCCTCCTCCCCACAATGTCTAGCAACCACTAGTCTGTTCTCTATCTCTATACTTTTGACATGTCAAGAATAGTCCCTAAACGGAATAATACATTCTCAGCATAAAGCCCTCAAGATTCAATCAAGATGTGTATCAATAGGTTGTTTCTGTTTAATAAAGTCGTATTCTATGGTGTGGATATACTGTAGTTTGTTTGATTATACACTCAATGAATGACATCTAGGGTATTCCTAGGTTTTAGCCATTACGAATAAAGCTGCTATACGTTTGTGTAGAAGTTTTGGGGTTAAAATAAGTTTAATTTATTTGGGGGTAAGTTCCCAAGAGTGCAATCAATGGATCTTGTGATAGTCTAGGTTTCTATGAATATGCCAAACTGTTTCAGAGGGGCTGCACTGTTTTATATGCATTGCTGGGTAGGAAGAGTGAACCAATTTCACTGGCATGCTCTAGAAGGAAGATCTAGAAAGAAAACCATATTTTATAATGGCCCAGTTCTACGCCTGTTTGTAATGTATACATTCTGTTCTGCATTTTAAAGAGGCAAACCACTGCCTCACATGGAGAGAAATACCGTGGCCCAGTGCTACCTGTATTGAATTTCAGTATAAGGAAGCAAACATTCATGGAGATAAGTTATGTTCTTCACAGCTGTATCAATAATAGAAGTAATATTGTGATTTCCTATTTTATTTTTCTGAGTTATTTTTCAATTAGTCAGATCGTTTTTTAAAATGATGGGTGTTACTTATTACTGCACCCTCTTCAAACCTTAACATTATAATTAACAAGTAGACATGAATATAACTAAAAATACACTAAGAGGATGTTCATCTGAGTGTATTTGTCATCAGATAAAATTATGGTTTAAATTTAAACTTTAGAAAGTGTATAATCCTAAAACTTAAAACAAATTTGAAGTATCATCCCATCAAAAAAGCATAATCAGATTAAAAATATTTTAACTATATAATTACTCTATTAAGAACTAGATAATCCTAAAATCAAATTTGTTCCATTTTTTAATTACAGTACAGTATTAAAATATACAGTAAGTATTAGTTGGGGTTCAAATGGACCTCATTCATGAGTATTTCATTACTGAAGAATCAAAAGGAATTGGATATAAACTTCTCTCACAGCAATGACCTTGAGAATAGGATTACATTAAATCAACACTTTTTAATTTTACATGTATACTTTTAAATGGGCTTCCCCAGTGGTTCATTTGGTAAAGAACTTGCCTGCCAATGTGGGAGATGCAACAGACATGGGTTTGATTCCTGGGTTGGGAAGATCCCCTGGAGGAGGGCATGGCAACCCACTCCAGTATTGCTGCCTTGAAAATACAGATGGAGGAGCTTGGTGGGCTATGGCCCATGGGGTTGCAAAGGGTCAGACATGACTGAATCCGCTGAGCACACACACATATATTTTTCAATATTAAAAAAACAATAATAACCTATCAATAAAGAATGTGTTTTCACTATGCCTCTGAATGATTAGTAAAACCCATAAAAAATTCAGTTGCAACAAACTTTATCTTTTAAGATACAATTAAGCAAGACAAACTAAGGTTCAAATATGCTCCTCAGTAAAATCTTGCATATTTGTTCAAGTCAAATTTTTAATTCCTCCCATTCACCTTAACAACTCCCACCCCCCTAAGTATCATTTACGTGAATCATCCTAGAAAGGGACATTTACTGAAATTTAACTTTTCTCCAGAGTCATGAATAGTTTAAAACATTAGCTCTTTTCAGATAAATTTAAGACAAATTAGAGCTGGAAAGGTACTCTGAAGACCAACTCAAAATGAATACAAACAACTTGTGGTACATCACAATTTGTAAGTCCCCTTACCTGGCTACACCAGATGATAGCTCAGGTACTACCACCCTTCGACTCCAAGCTACAAGATCCCGCTCTGTGGCTATTTCACTTCTTGGTGCATTACTGTGCATCTGCCGTACACCTTCGATTTGACCACTACGCCTTAGTCCTACATTAGGTGGTGAATGAACCTCTGAGGTAGAACTTGTAGAGCCTAAGAGCAAAAATTAATATAGAAAGCTCTATTCAGAGATATTTCTCTATTAGCTTATAACAGGAAACAAACCAAAAAAATATCAGGAGAAAAAAAATCCATACTATCTTTCACATGAAACTTCATACTATGGCAAATAATCAAATTACCAAATCAGGAACTAAATCACAAGTAAAGCTTAATGAAAACAAAATTAAGGTTATTTAGTTGACCAGGTAAGTTAATGAATCATAACTACTATCTCCAAGTATGTAAAATCATTATTGTTAAAAAATGCCCACTGTATGTTTTGGGGAAAACCATGTAAGAAGCAAAAACAGACAAACCCAAGGACATTTATAGTTCATAATCTGCTTTAAATTTTCTCTAAAATGTATTAATATACAACAATAAGGGGGATGAGATGTTCAAGAATGTGGCTTTGAATGTATTCCACTATCAAAGAAATTTATTCAAGAACTTTATTTGAAGAAATTTATTTTTAACATTTTTCTAAGTTAAACATGTTCATTACAAGAAATCTGTAAGAATATACCTATTAAAAAACTCATCGCCTATAGTTTGAAACCTTATATTATGAACACTTTTTTAGGTCATTAAATATTTTTCAAAAGCATGATTACGCTTATTTTGGCAGTCAAACAGTTCGTATCATGGATTTACTACATTTGTTAAATTGTGTGTTATAGGCTTAGACTGTTTTAATTTTTTAAATATTGCACTTAAAATAGTCACTGCTTACCTCTACTTAAACGGCTGGTATTACTGACAGCTGCTTCACCAGAACGTCTCAGGTCTTGCTCCTGCTGTAGTCTTTGAATCATACTGTCCAGTGGGCTGATTTCCTGGTTTGCTTGCTGACTTAAAACTTGATTCAGTCCTATGTAAAGCACAAAAATGCTAAGGATACTTCAAACCATTTCATTCATCAACCTCACTTTGAGTCCAGAATTAAACACAAATGTTGCTTGAATAAAAGACCTAAAACGAGCAACTGTAAATGTTAGGGGAGAGGAAAAAAAGAAAAAAAAAGGAAACATACTCCCTTTAAATTTAATTTATTAAAAATAGCAATGATGACATAACTTTTTCTAAGTGTTTACCATGATTCAGGTACTCAAAATCCTTACAATATTATAATTTCATAGGTATTATTAATTCTACTTTATAGAAATAATTCTACTATAAAGAATTAACTCTACTTTATAGAATTAATAATACCTATGGAATTGTGATATTGTAAGGATTTTGTAAGGAATATTGTAAGGATATTTTAAGGAATTAATAATATCTATAAAGTGGAATTAGTAGTACCTATGGGATTATGGTATTATATTTCACCATGGTTTTATATATGGTATTATAAAGTGAAAACCAAAGTAACTGTTCAAAGTCATATATCCAGTTAAGTGGCAAAACAAGGATTTAATCTTAGATCTTCTTTTAAAAAGAAGCAAACTGGATTATCCACTTTCTCAAAAACCTTTACTACTTTATTCAACAAATTTCTTATTGTCAACATAAGGAAAGTGATGAGAAAATCATCAACTCCCATTCGAATCTTCAACTAATGTTAAATTTCACCCTCCAAAACAGCAACACTTTTCATTCCTATCCTGCTTTTAAACTTTTAAAAAGTTGAGATCACTTCTTAAAACAATCTTCAATGTGAATAGGTTAGCTAGTCTTATTTGCTCTCTCACATCACACTATTTTATTCGCCTTAATAACATTCATCATAATTAACTATATATTTGTTTGTAACTGTTTACAAACCTATCTCACTCCATAAGAACAAGGAATGCATTTGTTTAATTCACTACTGAATACCACAGCTTAGCAAGTGTCAGGGACAGATGAGATTTACAATTTATGTTGCCAAATGAATAAGTGAACCAACTCATCCCATACCAAACATAGACTTACTCTATTAGTCTCCAGAAGGTTATAAATAAATATAGCCCCAAATTAATTAAACCTCCAGTTTTCCTTAACTGTCTTACAATACTTAAGGATTATTCAAAGAACTTTTAAAAGAGTATAAAAAAATCATTTTACTCATTTGTTCAAAACAATTAAAAACAAAGTTCTACCCAATTATCCATTTTAAAAGATTTCAAAAGGAAAATTTGGATGTCTATTCAAATGGTCATTTACCTGAGGAAGTTACCCCCATTTGAGGGATGAGCTGCTCCTCCCTGCAATTTTCACGACCAGGAACTAATCTCTGATATCTTGATGGATGAGGATTACCATCAACATCAACCAAAAAAGGGGGTGGCATGAGATGAGGGGCTTGCTGAGTCTGTTCATCTAATACAAAATTGTTGGCATCACGGATAAGGGGCCGATAGTCACTATGAAAGAACATCTGATCTGCAATCTATAAAAAGAAAGACCCATAAAAGACTGGACAAAGAAAAATCTATCATTACAGATTTCTAATGAAAGGCAAACATTTACATATAAATCATGGTATTAAACAATATAAGAGTAATATTTTCTAGAACTGTAAATAAATCTTTATCTGTACTTTCTGCATTAAATTTTATGATTAGAAAAGCAGATACTATGAAATCTTCCCTTGAAGAGGAAGAGACTGTATTCATAAAAAACACTAAAAGTAACATAATTTGAATCAAATGGTAAAATTAAATCCATGCATAAATCTTTCAACAATACTTTTACTTTCCCAGAGCTACCATGATTTATCTTGTTTTTAAAATGACTACGTATGGTCATTTGATTTAGTATTTTACAATGAAAAATCAATTTATTCTTTGAATTAAACTCTTGAATGAAACCAAACTAATACAATTTAAGAAAATCCATAAGTATACAGTAAGCATGGTTTATATAATAATATTAAAAACTGACATCTCTAAAATTTCTGAAATAAAAATTCATACCTAACACATCTAACTTCAGAATTTTATCATTTGGAATTTCTTGAACTTCCATTTTTATTATAACATTTTAAACAACTCTACCACAAATACACAGTTTAAAACTTATAGTCACTAGTCTCAGTATCTTTAATTTTTTTTAAATTAGCTACCATCAAAGTAGGCCATACATTTTTTGAGAACCATATAAAAGCCACAGAATTGTACCCAGATAAATGCATATTATCCACATAAGTAAAACATTTTACATAATTTCAACAAATCCCTCTATGAACATCTCTTATAGGAGACATACCTTATATACCCCAACCTAAGAACTGCTATCTAAATTGTTCCAGCTGGCTAAGTAACAAGTTATTTTTTCTGATATATAAAAATGATAACTTCCCTCCATGAAATATAACCCATAAACATCTATGGATTTAAAAGCAAGCAAACAAACAATTATAAAGAGTAGATATATAGAGGCATCATCATACTCTACCTTGTCATATTTGCTACTGGAGCCAAAGCCAAAAATTAAAAGATGTCCATGAGAGTCTGTGCATGCAAAATGCTGACCATCAGGAGAGCATTTGCAGTCAAATACTGCACCATGTCCTTGGCCTTCAATCTGAAATGTATTTAACCAACAATCAGAAAACTGCCGTTAAAATATAAAGAACTGATTGGTGACTATTGTTACTAAAATTCTATGGTAAAAGATATAAGTATATATCCTATTGAAGTAAAGATAAAACACAGTATAGTACAAAATTTGTGAATATTCATGAAAAGTGCCAGACTAAAAGCCTCAAAAACCAATGTATTAGCTTTATCCATAGACCAGACACAAGTCAGGAAATAGAACACCACCATTCTCCCCCACCCATAGAATTCTGCTTCATGTCTTTAACCCAGATTTAAAATGTAATTGCACCTTACAGTCCATCTTATCTGTATTTAATCAAGCCGTTTCAGCAAAGGCTGACAATGTGGAGTAACTGTAGTGATTTTTGTAACTCTTGAAGTAACAGCCAGAGATCACTGCTCACAAGACACTAAATTTTTCTTTGTGGTAATAAATTCCCTTGATGGTCTGACTCATTTTTTAAATGGTGAATTTCAAAGGTTAAAGAAAAGGTTTTTTTTACCTGATAATTGTTTTCTGTTTTCCAGTTCCATTAATCCAGAACGAATGGGTTTCTCCCTGCAACCTGTCAATCAAACAGAGGTGGCCAATCACCACTCTGAATTTTTTGCTCTCAGTGCTTCTTCAGACTATGTTCCAGTTGAAAACTTCTTTAGCAGTGTTCTGAAAGAGTAAAAATTCTACCCTATCTAAAGCACATCTAGGGACTGAATTTCAGAAAACAACTAAAATAGGGAGTTGACTCCCTAACAAATAACTACTAAGGATGATTTTCAACAAATGTGACTGGATTTCTGGATTAGCAGAATCGGAACACACACACATTATCAGGTAAGAAATACCTCCTCTCTGTTCCGGTATCCACTGATCTAGAACAAATTGAGTTTTATTAGTAACATCCCCAAATCCCAGTAAATGCTTGGAAAAGAGAGAAGTGGTAATTTTCTGTAGTGTTAACAATATGGCATAGGGATGAATGTATAGTTCACCAAGTAGAGTGAAATTAAAACTCAGAAGAATAGTTGACTTCTCGAGGCAAGTTTGCATTCTGGTCAAAAGAGAAAATGTTCTAAAAGGAAGGGCTGTGCCTAAGAAGTTTACATAGTACAACAAACAGGTTTATCTCAAAAAGAAAACTGGTTTTTCCTCTGGCTTGTTGAAAAGAAGGAATGAGGACACTGGTGCTTACTAACACTGTTTTGAATGGTGATAATAACAGAAAAGCAGTAACTTTCCTTAAAACTTAATCACATGAAAGAAACTTGGTGAAACAATCTATGTCTAATACACTAAAAGATATACATGAAAGCAAGAAAACGAATGAGTGAAACAGGATCATTTCCTGGTTGTGAAGAATCCTGGAGGATAAGATAACAGAGGAAGGAACTGATTCCAACTCTTAAACTATTCAAAACTGAGAAAGAGAAGAACTACTTCTCCAAATCAAGCTAAGTGTGTTAGTACCCAGACAGCTTTGTATTTTCTAAAACATGAATGGCTACAAGTAGAAATGTCTGTATTCACATCTCTATTTTTCAGTGCTGTCTAGGGAAATAAAACATTACATGAACTGTTATAAATGAATAACTAATCACATGAACAAAGTTTACCTCTAAATAGGATTTTACATAAGAAAATCAAGACCAAAGAATTAAAACTGTCTTGACCATGTGTTATTTACCTCAATTCCCTCAAAATTTCATAAAAGACAAACAGAGAACAAAACAAAAACCCCAACTACTTCATAAATCTTACATAATACATGCTTCCAATTCTACGTATGCAGCAGAAGAGAGGAAGGAAGAGATCTGCAAGTCTGACTCAGCAATGCTAAAGGATATCTGACAGACACTCCTAAGTATAGCATCCTTCATATAATATTTAGGCAATCCTGCTCTACATTTTCCTTTTGGGGTGGCTGAGGGAAGTTGTCATGAGGATTAATCAACCCTATATCCATGCTATCTACCACTGTTTACAGTTAGCAGAAGATCTCTAAAAGAATACCTGGAAGAGGTGAACTTTCAAAAAAGGAAAGAAAAAACTAGCAATCCTATTGAAGATCACTGTTTTCTTATACAGTAACAACTGCCATTGTGAATATGGCATGATGGTGCTGATTTTCTTGGGATAAGCCATCTGTATAACTCCAGAGTTATGGAGAATATGAAATTGTATTTCAAAAGTACATTATTTGGATTAACTATTCACTAAAGAAAACAGATCTGCTCTACTTACAAACCAATTAGAAAAGGTGCCCTCACCACCTTATTTAAAATGCCAAATTTATCTTTATAAAAAGGTCCTCAGATAATAAACAGTCCTAACTACAAAATGCAGTCTAGGCTTTCTAGTTGATAAAAAGTAGGAAAATATTTTCCTATATAATTAAATAGGGCTTTCCCAGGTGGTACAGTGGTAAAGAATCCACCTGCCAACACAGGAAACAAAAGAGATGTGGGTTTGATCCCTGGATCCGGAAGAATCTCTGAGAAGGAAATGGTGAACCACTCCAGTATTCTTACCTGGGAAATTCCACTGATAAAGGAGCCTGGCAGGCTACAGTCCATGGGCTCGCAAAAGAGTTGGACATGGTAGAGTGCACACACACACACACATATATAACTAAATATACCCTAGCTATTTTTATGATTTATGCTATGATTAACTATGTCAACCACAAAAAATAGTTCAATACTTCTCTCTGAAAAGAAATCTTTCTCAGATTCTTCTTAAACCAGGGTCAAAATATTTATGATTAAGAATACTTAAAAGAAAAAATTTAATAATGAAGGCAGCGTTTGAATATGCATGTTTAACTAGAAATCAATGAGACCTACATTCAAAAATGAAATGGAAGAAAATAAATATCCTCTCTCTTCATATTAAAGCTATAAAGTTAAATGAAGCTATATTATGTATCAACTATACTTCAATTAAAAAATATATTTAGGAAATATAGTTAATGAACCTATCATAATATTAAATGCTCAATAGGAGAATAAGTCAACATAAAATTTAATATTATGTATAACTTATTCTAGTACTTATAATCATGCTCTAGTAAGTTTAAAAACAGGAAAAAAAAACCACCAAATTTTCAAAATAAGTAAAGTTAAGATGAACTATTCCCCTAATAAAATCAAGCATGCTTGCTACACACTATTTGGGACATATGTAAACGAAGACCACACAATAAAACTCATTAAATCACAATAATAAAATTGAGAAAATCAATGAGACAATGTTTACTTATTAATGCAAAAACTCAAAGAATGGGAGTTGAAAATAAACAGAAAAATATATTCAGTAACTATGATAAGGATATTTTGTTCTGTTTTTTTAAAGTAAAAGATGAAAACACCAGAAGTTAAAATGACTCCTTTGTAGGAAAATTCTCATACTAACTGAAGAATTCTAGAAATATTTCCAAGAAATGAGCAGCGCAATCTTGTTAGAGGCTTATATTCAACTTGGAAAAAATTAAATCAATACAAAAACTTATGAATTAAGAGCTTTGATGATGACAGAACTGTCATATTTAATGAAGAATGTTGTTGCTTTAGTTGCTAAGTCGTATCCAACTCTTTTGCAACCCCTGGACGGTAGCCCTCCATGCTCCTCTCTCCATGGGATTTCCCAGGCAGGAATACTGGAATGGGTGGGTTGCCATTTCCTTCTCCAGGGGATCCTCCTGTCCCAGGGATAGAACCCGAGCCTCCTGAATGGACAGGTGGATTCTTACCGCTGAGTTAATGGGAAGCCCTAATGAAGAATACTAATACCCTTTTCAAGACAGAATACAATCCAGAACTTCTAATGTAATTCTTGTGAAGTAGAAAGATGAATACTTAAAGGAGACAGAAGAGTGAGGCCCAAGAATGAAAAGACCTCTCCTCTAGTAATGGGTACATCACAGTATCACTGGGAAATGACAGAGATCATTTAAATGATCACTAGAGTCCTATCCAATTATTATATCCTTTACACCTAATTTTTAAGAAAGCTTTTGGAAGAACTGGATAATCTGGATATGAAGTATGCTAAAAGCACCAGGATGCAGACTAAAATTACAGGGTCTAGGTTACATCAACTGTGAGGAACACACACAGAGATGAACACAAGAAGTATGAATTCCTAAAGGAACTCAATCACGATGGTTAAAATATGGGCTTTCTTAGGCAGAATCATCTTTTTAATGGAATTACCCCAAGTCTATGACCAGGGTCAATTTTTGGGTGGCTCACACGGTAAAGAATCCTCCTGCAATGCAGGAGACCCAGGTCTGATCCCTGGGTTGGGAAGATTCCCTGGAGAAGTGAATGGCTACCCACTCTAGTACTTCCCTCATAGCTCAGTTGGAAAAGAATCTGCCTGCAATCAGGAGACCCGGGTTCAATTCCTGGGTCGAGAAGATCCCCTGGAGAAGAAAATGGCAACCCACTCTAGTATTCTTGCCTGGAAAATTCCATGGACAGAGGAGCCTGGCAGGCTCCAGTCCACTGGGTCCCAAAGAGTCAGACAACTGAGCGACTAACATTTTCACTTTCAAATATGTTATTTTAAAAAATATACTATTGATTAGAAGGGAACAAGTATCTCGCCAAGAAAATATTCCACAATTTAAAATTATGAATTTTAAAAAATACCCTAGTACTTTTATGAGACAGACTCATATCCCAAGAATCAAAGAGCTGAGAAACTAAATTTATACTAAAAATTACCTGTAAAAAGCCCTTCCTTATGTACAAAGAACCTTTAAAGCTTATCAACCCGGGAAAGAATAAACTTAAAAATTAAGAATGTGCATGAGATACTAGAGACAGACACTGTCATACCTATGATTAAAATATGCTCTGGTCACCTTCTAACTACTACTGTAGTTAAATGTAAATAAATAATATATCAAGGGAAACTATCACACTCCAATGGTCCAGGTATCAAATTACTTTAAAAGATTATTTCTAAATATTTACTTTAAC